ATTGTTCTTGCAGGTCTTTTGCACTACTGCTTCGTATCTACTTATTTTGGTGCAATTCAAGCAACTCGAAATCTCTTAATCATATGAGTAAGTTTTGAGAATCATAATGTAATTATGGTAAAACTGGCTCCAATAAATGTTCTGTTCAATCACAAGCTTTATTCACTTCAAAAACCAATCAACTCTGAAGTGTTGTAACTTCGCATAGTTTAATGATCAAATTGGTTCTATTTGAGGCCTTGTTTTCAAACAAGCATACAATAAATAATATATATGTTTTATGGAACCCACTCTAGTTTAATTGATTGCACTCAGCGCATCTAATTAGTTAATTGGTTTTCCAGTAAAAATAAATTCATTTCCCATTTTCTGGTCAGTGGAACAAGTTTGGTTCCCCAGAATGTCATTTATTAGGAATCTTGGGCCTTTGTTTTCTCTCCAAAAAGTTCTTCTTCTGCCAAATTATCAAGTGAAATTTAGAGAAAATATTTTAAAAGCAATTTTTCGATTTTCACTAATTTTTATTATAGTTTTAATTGGTTTGTGGGATTTTCCATCCACTGCGCTCTACACGAGGGAATCTGTTATGATGTGTGGCTTCGAATATGGTGTTAATTTTGTTCTATTAATCATTGATGTGTTTGTGAATCGATATGGAATGTTTTTTGTTCTCCTAATGGGTTTTGTGTATAATCAGAAACATTTGAAGTTATTGAAAACAATAGAAAATATGGAGAAAAGAATTTATAGACTTGCAAGAATCGAAGAAAAGAAAGTTATAAATTGGCGTATATATTTCGATTTATTAGTCAATCTGACTTTTAATTTTTCTGTTATCTTTTACTCAGTGTTTTTAAGTGCAATGAGTCCAAGTCATGAGTTATCTATGCTGAGGATGAGAGGATTTATGCTGTATTCCGTTTGTATGATTATAAACGATTGCATTCTTTTGTACATTATTTACATTATCAAAGAAATTATCAAATTATTTAAGTACCTTAGAAATAACACTGAGAAAATCAGAAAACACTGTTTTATCTTCTATTTGATGTCGGATTCCATTAATATGTTTCCATTCATAAGTGCTACTTTTGGAGCATCAATTTATGTTATGATTTTGCAACATTTGCTGAATTGCTCAATGGGATCGTATTACGTTTTCTGGTTTACCTTCAATTCGGACAGTTTTCCGATCAGAAATGATATTATTTACATTAGTTTTATATGGAATTTGAGAAGTGTGTTTTACGTCATTTACATATCGATCGTTGGGAGCAATTTTGCTGACGAAGTAAATGAAAATTTCACAGCATTCATTGAGTTTCAGACTGATTATGATTGTTATCGTTTAATTTAAAGGCGGAAAAGCTGTTCGAAATGAATGTTCGTTCTGAAACTGAAGAGTTCTCGGAAGACAGAATTGTTTTATTCAATGTGGAACAAATTATTCTACGAAGACTTCATTCAAGGGAAAAGCTCTCATTCGCCGAAACCTTTGATATTAACAAATCTTGCGCTTTTCAGGTATTTCAATTATTATTCCGATGGAAATTAATTTTATTGCTGATTTTGTATTTAACCTTTTAGATTTTCTCCATGACTGCTTCGTATCTTCTTATTTTGGTGCAATTCAAGCAACTTGAGGACAATCCAGCTTCTTAATCGTGAATAGATTCGCAAAATGCAACTTCATAATGTCTGATTGATCGAACACGTTTGTGGTGGCGCAAAAACTATGGTCAGAAAGATCATTGAGCCGCAGAGCTTGTTAAAAATGAAACAATGATCATGTAAAAATGTCTGTGCTTCCAAAATCAGCGCAGTGTCTGTTTTCAAATACCCAATAATTATCATTCCTGGTGGGTTTGGAAGGTCAGTCAGTGGAATGCGCCGCGAATGTTTGAACCCTCCTCTTCTTTTCATGTCACAATTGCGCAATTGAGGCAATAAATTTCTCATCTCTTGTGGAAATTAGAGTGGCACTCGCTGGTTCACAACCTTGATGCTCTCCGAGTTGTGAAAAATTATAAGCTCGCCTCTTCCGCCATGAAAAGCGATCGCGAAAGAGTTTCTGAGACACTCAAACGGCGCACAATGCAATTAATTCTGCAACATCTGCGCGCATGCGACCGTTGAAATCTCTCAGCTTTGCGAAGACATTTCACTTTCAATTGCACACAAACACACTTATACACTCTGCTAGCGGGGCAAGAGGAGCTCTTTTTTTTATCAATTGCAAGATTGTTTTCGATGCTATACTGTAGATGTCTTGTAAATGGAGTCAATTGTGCAATGTGCGACTGTACACAGCCTGGCAAACTCACCCGTTTAATGAATGGAGAAAAAATGCCTCTTTTTAATCATTATGGCTATTTTATAACATTTATAAACAACTCCATGAGCAATCCTCTCGCGCATGTGGCATTTTCATCAAATTTTGAAACGGTTTTTCGATATAGAGCTTCCCGCATTTCATCATGCATAAAATTACATATATTTTCATTTGAAAAAATACACCAATTTCGCGAAGAAAGAAGGAAAATAAAGCAATAACACTTCACATTACATATGTAATACGTGAAATACTGCAAAAATTGGTGCTGCGTCGAACATAAAACAACTGCACAGAAATTATGTTGCTTTCAAAAAATTATGCAATGGCAGAAACAAAACCACCATCAAGGTCAGTGGATCGCATGTGAATCGAGGAAAATTCATCTGCAGACTTAGATTTTGTTTCCCTTTCGAAAATTCCATATCAATTTCCTACACACACGGAGAATCCTTCTCTCTTTCTGGCCTCAGCACCTTCGCTGCAAGAATCAACAGTCGCGAGAGTGAGAAAAAAGAATTGCTCAATGGTTTTTTTCTGCAGCACAACTCGTTGGTAAAAATAAGCACCAAAACAAGAGATTGACCGCACTGTGAAATGTCTTGGACGAATATAGAAATTAGATTGCATTAGAGGCACAGCACAAACACACACATGATTATGTTTTAGTGTTTCTTGAGGCCATTGAGGCGGATTCAACCTTATAATTTAGACAATTTCACGATTTACATGGCAATTTGAGCAAGGAGTGTAATCTGGGTGATGGTTTGAACCGCGTGGACCGCGAAAGACACGCTCGTGAGTTGACTTACAAGTCATTGAGATTCGACAGTGTTCACGGTTTTGCCGGAGGAATTTATTTTGATCTAATTAAATTGCAGAATAAAGTGATATTGAGGTTTGATCAATTTAAGTTGTAATTCAAAAACTATTAATCAATTAAAATGTGAGATTAACCCCATAATTAAGTGGACATACGATTTAGCAGAGCCCTAAGAGATTTAGTAGAAATGGAACTCCAATCGGAGAAATATGGAGCCAAAAGCGTTCGAACTTTTCGATTTTTCGACTATCACGAGGAAAAAGCATTTCAGTCTGATAACGGTCTCTAATTCAATATCTGTGCACTCTTCGTGAGATCAAACGAGAGTTGTCCAGACAAAAATGCGCCACTTTGAAGCACCTCGGAAGGATTTTCCTGTGAGTTTGGTTGCATAATCTTGCCAATTGGACATTGCTTCACTCTCTGTCTGTGCCAGCATAATCACTGCTGCATACATAATTGTTTCTTGCATTTCTGCCCCCAAAACTACTCTTTATGGCGCTGCGAAGGTAACTCTACCATCTCTCCTCGCCGCCTTTTTGTCTCTAACCTCTGAGACCATGAAGCTGTGCAAAAGTTGAAACATTGCACTCGAAATTCATAGGCATAGTTTATGAAAAATTATACTAACTTCCACATTCATTCACGTGTTTTGTGATATGGTGAGAAAAAGGCGTATATAGCAGAGGGAATATGTGCAGGAAAAGTGGTCAAGATTGTGTGAAAAAGCGCACAATTTCGTCATATTTTGAATAGAATTTTTGAATGCATTCATTCACAACACGCCAGAATTGTTATGACTATTTTTTCTTCGCATTTATAATGGTGAACAATAAGTTGCAAAATTGCAGAGAATTCTGACTTGTGCGCAGAGAAGTTTTTCCATATTTAAATGGACCAATTTCCCATATAATTGCACGTTTTCCTCCCCCACACTTTCTCCCGTATTGTCGCATTGTCTTTTATGTGGTCTACTTAATTAATTGTTTTAATGTTTTGATTGGGTCCGGATCATTAACTTGCAGTGAGGGTTTCTCTTGGAAATTAGGAAATGCCTCAATTGGGATCCCATTGCGTCTCGCATTGCCACCAAAAGTGAAATTAAATCATCTTTCCAGCTTCTTGAATTTAATACTTCAACCGCATGTTTCTGCGCGGCTACTGAACCACTCAATAAGTCTGCCGATCAGGTACGCGGAAACAGCACATGGCTGCAATGGATTGCCTGTGTTTGTGGACACTGTGATAAGCTGAAATGTTCTTCGTTAAACTAACAAAACTGAACTAGATATATACAATTGCATGAATCTCAGCTCTCTAAGCTGAGCGCACTGTTCGAGCAAAGACTGTCGATGTCTTCAGCACACCTTTAGCCATTTTATCGTCTCAATATGGTGTTTTATGCAGCGAAATGTTTATAGAAATAATTTTTTCTTCTCTAGCGGTATCCATGTTACATGATACACATTATTTCCGGGCAAATCTCACTTTTCTCTCGTGCTCGTGGGACAGGCTGTGGCAATTCTGTGCGCCCAAAGGAGAATTCGGGTGATGATTTGTCAATGAAATATGATCTTTCTTTTGCATAAGTTATGCATTTGCGTTGATATAATTTCCCGCGTCACTTGTGAGTGGTTCTGCAGAAGCTCTCTGTTTATTTTTCCGAAAAGCCTACAAGAGAGTTACTCGCGAATCGGCGGTTTGTGGTGGGCAAAAAAAGCGGGGCGGGCGAAAGTAAATCATATCAAGTGAGCTTTCGGTGGTGGCTTTTGCCAGTTGTATAAAAGCAACCGTGCACACTCACACTCCATTCAGTGTCTCTTGGGCTCACAAGTGGTCACTTCTCACCTGTGATCGCCATCCCAGTTCAGCCTTAGTGTTCTCTCATTGGATTAATTTGAGCCACAATGAAGTCTCTGGTAGGCATTCTCTCGTGGATTACCTGTGATCTCTGTGCATTTGTGACATGGTGGATTATCCCTTGTTCTCTCAGGTGTGTCTCGTTGTGGTGGCCCTGATTGTGGGCGCTCAGGCTGGAGATGAGAAGAAGCAGGAGAAGCGTGGCATCTTCCACGACTTCGGCGGTCATGATTTTGGCGGGCATGACTTTGGTCTGTCCAGCGGAGGCTACGGTGGACACGATTTCAGCAGCAGCGGCGCCTATCACGATGATCATCACCATCACGTGAAAACCGTGACTGTTGTGAAGAACGTCCCTGTGCCCTATCCAGTTGAGAAGCACATCCACGTTCCCGTAGAGAAGCACGTTCCTGTGCCAGTCAAGGTGAGGGGAGAAGACAGCCAAATCCAGACTTACTCCGTGCAGAATATTTATTACTTAATTTTGTTCCGCAACTTAGGTTCCAGTGCCACAGCCTTACCCAGTCGAGAAGGTGGTCCACTATCCCGTGAAGGAGATCGTCAAGGTGCCCGTGCATGTGCCCCAGCCCTACCCAGTGGAGAAGAGGATTCCAGTTCCCGTTCATGTACCCGTTGAGCGTCCAGTGCCCGTGAAAGTGTATGTCCCACAGCCTTATCCCGTGGAGAAGCACATTCATGTGCCAGTGAAAGTGCCAGTGCCAGCCCCATATCCCGTTGAGAAGCGCGTTCCTGTGCCCGTGAAGGTTCCCGTTCACGTGCCCCAGCCCTACCCAGTGGAGAAGATCATCCATGTGCCCGTTCAGGTAAAGAGAAACCTTTATTCGCATGTTCACTGCTTTATAGCCAAGTCGAGATAGTCAATTTGCTGACCAATCATAGGCAATTCTAAAGTCCACCTAAAGACAAAGAGTGAAAGACAATTCCACTGAAGCGTATGTTTCAGTTGGAACATTTAATAATAACCGATTAGGATGCTCTGATTTTCCATTGAAAAGCCTAATTTTTGCACTCTGCTGTGTTTGATCATTTGCAATCGCTGGGGTTCGAATACACGACCACTGATAGACCAAAAGTGTTTAATTTCACCCACATTATTCCGTACCTGAGGAAGGAGGCAAATCCCCCGAAACGTCTTTAAATATAATAAATTCATTAATTTGTCTATTATTACAATAAGCGCATGAATAGAAATTTTGCAATCTGACGACATTATTTACAGAATATTTATTATATCATTTTGTTCCGCAACACAGGTGCCAGTGGATCGTCCAGTGCCAGTGCATGTGCCAAAACCTGTGCCCGTTCCAGTTGAGAAGCCTGTGCCCTACCCAGTCTACAAGAAGGTCCCAGTTCCCGTGCACGTGCACGTTGACCGACCAGTTCCAGTTCACGTTGAGAAGCACATTCCCGTGCCTGTGAAAGTGCCCGTGCCCCAGCCCTACCCAGTGGAGAAGCACATCCCTGTGCCAGTGGAGAAGCACATTCCCTACCCAGTTAAGGTGCCCGTCGATCGCCCTGTGCCTGTTCACATTGAGAAGCACGTCCCCTACGCCGTTGAGAAGCATGTCCCATATCCAGTCAAGGTCCCCGTTGTCGTTCACGATGAACACCACCATCACGACCATCACGATTTCAGCAGCTCAGGACATGGCTTCAGCAGCTACGGCCACGATTTCGGTCATCACGGATATTAGGACGTACGAGCGGCCAAAAGAGTGAAAATAATTTAGTAAAATTGTTGTGATAATGCCCTAACTACAATTCTTTTCACTCAGACACAAAGTATTTCTTCTTTAACTCTCACTCTCTATGACTGAAACTCCTTCACACTTTCGCTTTCCTTCCTACTCTGGCGTATATGGCTTTGAACTCAGTGCCAGATGTGCATAAAAAAGTCACAGCAAAGATGGCCGACAAACGGCGAACCAGGAAAAGAGCAAATACAAATCTCAATGTGCCTTGAAGGTAGCCCCGATTTTTACGCAATTCTCCATATGTGACCCACAAACGAAACTGTTTTGTTTTTGTTTTTTTCGCGTCTCTCAACAAAAACGAAGAAAAAACTGCGACACCTTGATAATGCCTCAAGATTATGTACCTTAATTAGCTGCTGAGAGCGATTGGCACCAGCAACAGACAATTTTTTTTTTGTATAAAGAAGAAAGATTAATTGAGATGTAATAAAGTTTTAAATGAAAAGTCATCTGTTTTCACTGTTGTTCGTGCTACGATTGGCAAATGGCTGAGGCGCGAGTGTGACTTTGCCATCATGCTGAAATTGGATGTGAGTGAAAGACGCGATGGAGAATGAAAGTGTCAATGGGACGTGATTACAATGTCATTATCAATATGCGTTGGTGGAGAATTCGGTTGACGATTTGCAATGCGGCAGCTTTCAAGAGGATCTCGTGATTCACTTTTGTAGCAACATGCATTCCAGGCACGTTTTTGGTTTATCTAGATGATCAATTTCAAGTTTTCAGGGAATTGAGAATCATAATGTGTCTGTATGTTTCGCTGGAATTGTCTTTCCTGTCTTTTGCATTCAGTTTTAAATCGTTTTGCTTTTTTCCAAACCATTTTTGCAAACTGACAGTTTTTTTTCTCCTTTTGTCCTGAAGGCTGTTTTGAATCTAAAGATGGCGATGGGCGCAGAGAAGTAGAATTTTGATAATGGAGAAATAGTGAAACTGTCTTTGCGAGAGTTTTTTTTAAAAGAATTATGCTTAGAAATCGTGAGAGATGTCATGAAATGCACTTCAAAATTCGCTCAATTTATCTCCTATCAATATCAACAGTAGCCTATATTTTATTCCTATGCGTTTAGAGAAAGTGGTAAATTCATAATCGACGCATTTTCTATCCCACCATTTCCTCACCATCCGGATTTGTTTCACTTTCCGATCGTTCGGAAGAAGAAATTGGAAGAATTTTGCCAGACAATAAACACTACTCATTTGCACACTTTTGCACTCGGTGTGAAAAAAATAAGTGTGCTATACAAGAAGTTGAGATAATTGTTGGCAGTGATGTGTAAAGTAAACGCAAAGGTTCGCTTTTTGATATACCAATTCATAGTGGAATTTTGTAATGAAGGTGAATTACAATTACTTTTTTCTTTCAATTGCTATTCTTTGATTCGGCGGTGCATTCTTTTCCGGTAAACATAGTGCGGCTGGTGGTGTTGTGTGTTCCCGCAGTGCATTTCACACAGAGGCGTTCCAAGAACCCACGATATTAGAGCAATTTCGCGCCACTTTTGCTGCCAATATAATCGATTCTTCACGCACTGTGTGCGCGCACTCTCTTAGCCAATATTTGCCATTGCCATTGAATTGGCGAACAGGAAGGGTTTCGGCGCTGCTGGCAAGTGCTGCTGTGGTGCCATTGGTTCAGGGACACTGCGGTAGATCCACTGGCCATGCTGAGGATCGTAGATCCAGGACGAGGCTGTCTGTGGCGCTCTCTGCTGAGGAGCTGCAGGTGTTAAATGCGGCGGATGATCGTAGGCAATTGGAGCATAACTCCAAGAGTTCGCGAAGGCATAACTATACCACCAGGAAGACACTGACACAGACAAATAGAGAAACACACCTTCAGATTGCGCTTCCCGCGGAAAAGAAAACAAACCAAGTCTCACCGCAGAAGATCATCCTGAGCTGCAACACAAGCAGGAAGATCTGCAAGAGTCTCATCGCGAAGTGTGCGTGACTCGCAAAGTGTTGAGAAACTGAATCTTCCGCGATTAATATGCGAAATGAGGAATGGTAATTGCCAAAATGATAAGGCGAATCTCTTGTGCAAAAGTCACATTGCAAAAAAATATATAAAATAACAGCGAAAACGCAATAGCACTGTGTCTCTGACGAACTCTTTCACACTCTATAAACATTAAATATGTAAATCTTCATCTCCGAAAGGCCACTTTTTGCTTCATCACCGTCTTTTTTACAGCAACTCTCATTATGCAATTTGATCACTTTTTGCTACAAAGTGGAAATGAGTACGATATTGCTCGGTTTTCTTCTAATCAACACAGAGAAGTGCCACAAATGATTGCGCAGGGAAATATTATTTTTTATTTGAATTAAATTTGTTTCATCTGTAAAATTTGAGCAATAAAGACATCAAGTAATATTAAAAATAATGTTTCATTACATTCCAAATTAGTCAGAAAAAGTCAATTTCCTCGTAAGCTAAGCAGAACGTGTCCTTTATAGATCTTGCTGTGATATTTCATACACTAATCTGTCGGTATTTTGCCAATCAATACCAATAATACACAATTTTCGCTGATCACTTCCTCCTGATTTCCATCCCAACTGATAAGTGCAAAAGCTCAACGAAGTATCGTGGAAAATTATTCATTGACTTGTGCTTCATCAGATTCCAAGAATGTGATGAATCCACAATCATTGCGATATGCAATGAAACCCACACACTTAGCCACATAGTCATCGAATTCAGCCTCTCTTTTTCGCACTATCTAATCTCGGGAAAACACTGATAAGAGCCGAAGCCTCAATTTGTGTGGAGAAAAAGAACGTCGGAGTGTAGATAATTTTAGGGCGAGGCGACGATTTCACCTGCTGAACGAGTCATTTTCCCACCTCTCGGCAGTTGCTCACGGTTTGCAAGGTGCAAAGTGGTTTTGCTCAAGAGTGTTTCTGGCGAAAAGGATTAATCCGGAGAGGATATTTCCCAGTGAAGTGACGTTAGTGTGGAACACAGTGTTTTGAGGATCGCGGTGAAGAAATGGCGGGAAAAGGACAAGGACAGGGTGAAAATGCGGCAAAGCTTGAGGGCCAGATTGCCTGCATCAAGTATACGATCTTCTGCTTCAATATCTGCGCATGGGTAAGGGATGAACGTTTGTGAATCACGTTGAACGGAATTTTTGACCAATTTGTGGTTGGGAAAGTGAATTCCCTACGCCCATGCTTCGGTTGCCTCATTCCGCTCTACGTTTCGAGCCCTTATCTTATCAATACACCAGCTATGGAAGGAAAGATAGATTGAAGAATTGAAAAATGAGCGATAATTCACCACTGAATTGGCGCTTTTCCTGGAATGCCGCAATGAATAAGTCCTTGTGGGAACAACATGTGGATCTGGAGGGTGGGGCTTTCGAGTAGGCGGAGCTTGCTTAATTTCATCCCTGTCTTTTTCGGGATTGTAGATGGTGGCTGCCGCCCTCTTCGCGCTCACTGTGTGGATAAGAGCTGAGCCTGGATTTGCGGATTGGGTGGACATCCTAGAGATTCATGCTTACTACATTGGAATCTACATTCTCATTGGCATGAGCATTATTGTCATGGTTTCGTCCTTCCTCGGCTGCTGCAGTGCTCTCATGGAACACACCGTCGCTCTATTCTTGGTAAGTTTTCCTCAGTCTCTTCATCCAGAGCAGTCTCAAGATTTTAATTCTGTGTTTCTCTGGCTTTCAGTTCATCGGTACACAAGGTTTCTGCTTCTTGATCGGCACTGTTGGAGCCGCAGTCCTGCTCAGCTTCAGTACAATAGGATCACACATCCAGCCCATGATCTATGACACCATCACTCGCCTTATTATGGCCTCATCCCACCACCAACCCTCAGCTGACATTCTGAAAATGATCCAGGAATCCGTAAGTACCTTCTCAACGTGTTTAAAGCCTTTCGCTAATCGTTTCGTCCTTGCAGCTTGGATGCTGCGGAGCTGACGGCCCCAATGACTACATCATCCTGAAGCATCCGCTGCCCAGGGAGTGCAGAGACACCGTCACCGGCAATGCCTTCTTCCACGGCTGCGTGGACGAGCTCACGTGGTATCTGGAGGACAAGTCAGGTTGGGTGGCCGGCCTGGCCATGGCTCTGGCGTTGATGCACGTAATCAACGGTGTGATGAGTTTGGTGCTTGTGCAGGCGCTCAAGAAGGAGGAGGACGAAGCTCGCACGTACAGACACTAAGTCTCTTCAGCCTGCCTTTCACATAAATTTAGCTTATCAGAACATCATTTTTACCGTACAATCGTTCCGCGGAAGATCATAGCTGACCGTTGATTCATGACACACAGAAACATTATGATTTCATGCTTTTGTATACTTCTGGGCGAATAAAGATCACATTTTAAGACACCGATAAGGAATATTGTGATTTTTGTACACCCAAATATATTAATATTAGAACATAGTGCAATAAAAGTAAGCTCCACGTAGTCAGAATTTTGACTAATTCATGTTAGAAAATAAAAATGAAAAATAGTGTTTGAGGCTTTTACGACACGATATCTGCGTGTAATAAAATCACCACACATTTCACTACGCCACTGGAATTTGTCAATTGTGTCAGTGCGGTTAATGTTTTTCTTTAGCTCTGCTGTTCCTGCCGTTCTTCTGTGCTGACTTTCTGCTCAAATCTCTGCAGAAATACACCGTGCGCAACGCGGTTTCCTCCTTGAGACGCTCCCAGAAAGTGTGCCCCTTTCAATGTCCAAGAAAAACAAGACAAAAGTGAGTAAAGCACAGTGTGAAATTGAGTCACATGACACCGTACGGAATGAGGTTATGAAAGGGGCGCTGTTTTGTCTTTTCAGGGTGATTCCTCAGCATCGCCCAACTCGTCAGTCTTCTTCACGGTCCTCTTCTACTGCCTGCTGATCATCCTGCTGCCCATCGCCGGGTTCTTCGCCTCCAAGTGGTACATCTTCGACGGCTACCTGCAGCTGCCGCAGGTGACGAGTAACATCTACTCGGCTGTGGTGGCCGTGGTGGCGCTGCACGTGGCGCTCTTCTTCTACATCTACCGGGCGTACTTCGAGACAGAGGCGAAGCCCGAGCGGGTGCTGGGCAAGGAGGACTAGGGATGGACTATGAGGAGCTGCAGAAGGGCCAGAAGGTGTTGCTGGAGTTGGACGACAAGAAGATCTGCTGTGAGTTTGAGAGCTACAATCCTGGCCAACAGTATGTCGTGTTTGTCAATCTGGCTGACTTCAACACCAAGCGACACTACGCGCGCAGAGCCACCTTTCAGACCCGCGAGATAAATCGCATTCACCTGTTTCCGGACAGCCAGAAAGAGGAGGATGCATCTTCAATCACCTCAGGCAACACGGGCAGAAGTGTCGTGCTGACCGATGAGGAGATCCAAGTGGTGCAGAAGGCGCTGTGCGAATTCACGTACATCAAGCAGACAGACAAGGTGTACTTCAGAGCAGTGGAGGAACTGAAGCAGTGCGAGAAGATCGCATTAGACGTGATTGGGGGACGCAAGGGGCGCTTCTGTCCGGGCTCTCTGCTCATTCTGGCCACCAGGGAGTCTATCTACGTCATAGACTTGATATATATCGGCAGTATTCCGTGTGAGTTGAAGAACATCCTCCAGGCGCGATCGCCTCAGAAGATAATCCACGATTCCTGTGCCGTGGGTGACTTTCTCCTCAGCCACAAAATCAGCCTGACCAACGTGAGTGACACTTTCATCGCGCACGCGGCTGTGACGAACACGGAGAAGCTGGTGAGCGTGCAAGAGTGCGTCCTGCAGCACCTGAAGATCCCCATGACGAGTGTCACGGACAAGGACATGTTGGCCTTCGAACACCGGCCGCTGACCATCGAACAGTGCGCCTTGGCGGCCGAGCAAGTGGCTTTCCTGCATCACCTCAACACTGTCTTGCTGGATGGGAACCTCTTTAAGCGCTACTACGACGCCTGCAGAGCCTACAAGGACGGCATCTCGCAGTATGACGACTCGGCCTTCGTGGCTGTTCGCGTGGGGGCGCAGAACTACCAGGAGTGGATTAAGAAATTCCAACTATTTTGAGTAATGAATGATTGCATTAAAACCTGAGTTTTACTTATTTGAATTAAATTGAACATTTCCTTTATTACACTTCTCATACTCGTTTTTCTCACATTATCACTTGATTCAAAGCTTCTCCACGAGGAAAAGATTGGGGAAGAATCTGAGGCCCTCGAGAGACTCATCTCGACAGATTCTTCCCGCTCGTTCGGCCGTGAAAAGGCGCTCCTGAGCCAGAAGCACCGAGATGCCCTTGTTGCGTGCAAAATGCTCCACCGTGAGACACTCTTGTTCCCTGATTTCCCTCTCCGTCTCCTCCATGACGATCTCATCATTGTGGGAGTCCAGCTGGAGCACCATCGCTCCGCTGGGAAACTGTCTCAACTTGATAGGTCCATCCATGAGCTGACAAGCGCCAAGCAAGTCTTCCGGAGACAGAAGTTCCAGTCCTCGTGCTCTGTTGACACGACAGTAAACATCAGCGAGGCTCATCATCCCGCCAGCCTCTGTGAGAGTGTCCAGAAGCATTTCCGTGAGCTGCTTCGAGAGGCTGCCGAAGTAGTCGGAGTTGGTGGAGAAATTCCCTCGGGTGACCGGATCATCAATGCCCAAACTCATGAGATATGACTTGAAGCGAATGGTTTCATCTTCACTGATATCGCCATCGTGATTCCTAATCTTCGTGGCAATGGCTTTCGACACGGTCACCATTTCCTTCGCCATTCCCATCAGCTTCTTCAGATCCTGGAACGCCACGGCAATGCTCTCGTCCGTCTGCTTCTGCTTCTCATGGATCCCGCGCTCGATGCCCACAATTCCTGTTCTCAGTTTGATTCCAGCCCGCTTCTCTGGAGAGTTCTCACCACTGCTGCCTCCCTCCACCTCCCACAGACGCACTGCCACAGTCTCATGCAGCGCTCGGACGAATGCCTCCTCAATTCCACTCTTTCCGGACAACTTCACGTGAGAAGCCGTGCTGTATTCCATCGGCCCTGGCGCCTTGTCTGTCTCCACTGGCCTCAGCTGCACAATGATGCGCTTCTTCTTGCCGAAGAGAAATGAACTGGCTGTCTCTTCATCCAATGCCTCCACATACTTGAGATGAAGACAGAGAACTCGCATCCCTGCGGCGATTTCTCCAGGACGACCCCAAAACAACCTGTGCGACGTCAACACCACTTCGCCCTCCTCGAAATTGGTCTTCTCTTCGCCATCGTACAATTTGATGTTCCTCTCCTTGGCCACGAACTGCTCACTCTGCCCCAAACGCGCCTCTTTGTACTCAAAGCGATTCATATCCTGAGACCAAAACAAACCCACCTTTGAGGTTAAACCGCACTCACCGAAATTTCGATTAAACCCGCCTACGTCTACTCACCGCGACGGCGCTGCAGTCACTGTACTCCATTTTCATTCATTTGTTCCGTGAAGAATTTTCGGCCCTGTAAGTTTTACACATTTTACTGCTAAAAACTCTCTCATAAACCTCTGAAAATACTCTTAATTGCAAATTTTGGTGACTAGCTGTAAGTTGTAGTGTGAGCTGTATGTCCAAAGTTGTGGGAAAAGCGTGAAAAGTGTCTGGAAAAGTTCCGAGTGGTCGCGTCCAAGGCAAATGGCTTCCCCCAAGTTCACTCACAGAGACGACAAAGAAAATGATGCGCAACTCCTTTTTTGCACTGAATTTCTGTCCTTTCTTCCACCCTGAGAAATATTTAAGTCTCCCTTGTGTAAAGTATAGCAGACAAACCACACCCGGACGGGGGAAAATGGGTGAAATTCGCGAAAGAAATCACTTGAGGCTGACACGTTGCGAAGTCCATTGTCTGCTTTTTTTTCTCTTCCGAGAAATTCCTCCCACTCCCTTGGAAAATTGCGACTTTTCCAGCAAAATCACCCTCTGGCCAGGCAAAAGGGTTGATCCATGCACAGCAAATTGCCCCAGATCGCCTGAGAATGGTCGCAAAAGGGAAATCGACCAGTGAAAATGCCAGGCATTTCGCAATGGAATTCCATTTGATCTTGGCTCCATTTTGAAATGACGTCACGCGAAGTCCCGCTGTTTGCGGAATTTTCCTCCAAATGATGACAGTGAACCGATTCTCAAGAAACGCATTTCAGCGAACAAAGAAAGTCGCAAAATTGCCGTGAGTCAGCAGGGAAAATAATATATCCAGCCGAACGTTTATTTGTGTCGCGCTGTCCTAAATATAAATTCAGTGGCAGCATTTTCAGGAAGTGTTCTCAAAACCTAGATAGAATGGGAACAGATTTTTGCTATATAGAAGGAAGAACTTGATTGTTGCTGTTTTGTACTGGATTTTGATAGAAATTAAATAATTAAAGGTGTACTAAAGGAATGAAAAACTCCCATATGTTAATCTCAGAAAGCCACATAAAATTTAAGTCTATTTGAAAGGTTAAATTGGTTTAAACTTTAGAGTGTTCTATAATAAATGATTCTTATTCTAGTTTTACCTTAGTCAGACTGAGTTTCATGCATATTAAGGCCAAGAAGCCCAGCTTTGGCCTTAAATTTGATTTATTTTTGCAATACTAAAGAATTACTGGACTTGTAAACTTTCATTTTATCTTGAAAATGAACTACATAGTGTTGTGAGGGAATTAGTATGCTTTCTGTGTTTCCTTAATGAATTGGAAGCCGTTTAGGACTTGTCTTTGTGCACTTATGTTCCTCTATATAGGATTAAATCCCCACAATGTGGTTTATAGCACATAGAAAGCCATGAATCTTCAGTCGCTTTGTATGTCCACAAGACACAGTTTTTTTTTTCTTTCTTTCACGGAAAATTAATCATTCCATGCAAGAATACTAACAATAGCCTACACACATTGTGTGGACCATTTTCGATTCTATTCTCCTCAGCGTTTGGTGATTTATGAATGGCGCGTGCGTGTGTGTGTGTGTGTGTGATCCAGAGACAAAAGGCTCACGTGAGGCTGTGTTCTTCTGCCCTTTCAGGTGACCAGAGACAGCCGGCCGAGAGAGCAATCCGTGTTTGGAAGGCATATTGGCAGACACGCAAGCAAAGAAGGGTGAAAGAAGTGAGAGACGCCAGAACACAAGAGGTTCACGCGCTATCGGCAGACTGACGGAGCGCGTATCTCGGAGCGTTAAACCGCCACCAATCAAGACGGAAGCCCCCAGGCAAACGGGGCCCGAGTCTCGTGTCACGGGGAGGGAGACACCAGTCCCCCCCGCATCTAGACGCTGGGTCCCTCCATCACTTCTACCACAACATGGACTCACTCAAGAGGCCAAAAACGATGCTATTTTCAGAACGGTGAGCAAAATGGTAGATTTAGCATTTTTCTCATACGCACACCTCAAGTTTCTGCTGGCCTTTGTGACCTAGAAACCTAGATTTGATTTATTATTCGCTAATTTATGTGAAATGATGTAAATTTTGAGGATGTTTTGCTTTGTGTGTGTGTGTGTGTGTGTGTGGAAAGAGAAGTTTGTAGGCCAAGAACAACATTGACCTTATTCTCTCTTCTTCGCCTTCTTCTCTGCAGGTTCGAGGTATTCTCAACAAACTCACCCCAGACAAATTTCATAAGTTAAGTGGTGATTTGCTTGAAATTGATCTCAGTTCCCGTCAAATATTAAATGGTGTTATACATTTGATATTCGAAAAAGCAGTAGATGAGCCAAAGTACTCGTCTATGTATGCACAATTGTGCAAGAGACTGCATTCAGAAGCGCCGAATTTTGAAGAACCGAATGATGAATGTACAGTTTTTCGTTTAATAGTGAACACCTGTCGCGATAGATTTATAAAGCGCTCAACATATAGTGAATTGATAAAGAAGAATGACTCACCATTATTGCCAGAGGATGAAGAGGAGAAACAGCAGATATTCAAGCAGAAGATGCTTGGCAATGTCAAATTCATTGGTGAGCTGTATAAATTGGGAATGGTGTCTGAGAGCACCATTCACCAGTGCATTATACAATTGCTGGAGCCCAATGCGAACAATCACATGCGCAACGAGGACATGGAATGTCTGTGTCAGTTGCTCAGAACTTGTGGAAAGAACTTGGATACAGAACAGGGCCAAGTGCTGATGAATCAGTATTTCCAGGGTATGGCGAAGAAATCAATGTCGGCAAAATATCCACCACGAATAAGGTTTATGTTGCGTGACATTATTGAGTTGCGACGGAACAATTGGATACCGAGAAAAGTAGCCACTACTGAGGGTCCAGTTCCGATTCATCAGCTGAGAATTGAGGAGGATCTCATTCGGCCGAACTTTGGCAACAGGTGGGAGATTGATTTCCCATTGATTTATCTCCATCTGACTGTGTTTCTGTGTTGTTTTTTCAGACCGAGAGATCTTCGAAATGATCGGGATGGTGATTGGATTAATCGACACTCTGGATTTAGTGATATGTTCAGCAATCTCTCCAACACTTCGGCGATTATATCAGCGTAAGTCAACACCATTGCTCGTCTCTAATCCATCAAATCCACAGTGTAATCACACGCAATTGCCTTTTGCAGATACAACGTGACACCAGGAAATGCATTTGGCGGCCGTGACGGTGTGCGTGGGCTGGTGAATGGCGGCGGCCTGAGTGTTGGACCGAGTGGCAATGGGATTGGTGCGAGTGGTGGCTCGTACAGGAATGTGCAGCGCAATCAGAACAATGCGTCCCATCAGAATTATCAAAACTACAATAATCGCTACAATAAGCACAATCATGGCAATAACAATTCGCACAACACGTCATTTGCCAGCAATATGCTCAACAACAAAGATCTGGCGCCGCGCTTCAAGAGGAACTTGATTCAGACACCACAGGATCCCGTGGAGAATCTCCAGATGCGTCCGGCGGCCAATAGTTTGCTGTTCAAGGCGAATATCAATGTGAACAAGCAGCAATTGCCACTGACACAGCCGCGTGCCAATGCAGCGGCGGCCAATCACGTGGGCCACCATGGAAACTACATGGGTCCAATGGAGGCGAATCCGCCACTGCCGCAGGTACACCGTGAGCCGCAGGGCAAGGTGGTGTTGCAGTCCGTGGCGCCGGTGAATCCGGTGATCATCAAGGAGGAGCTGGTCATGGGTGGTGGTATGATGAAGGAGGAGGTGAAGAAGGCGCCGAAGCAGAAGAAGGACAAGGCCCCGAATAAGGAGGAGTTCATAAAGAAGGTGACAGTATTCATGGCGGAGACGTACATGCCACAATTGGGCGACACTGACGGTGGTGATATTGATGAGATTGCTGGGAAGTTTGTGGAGTTAAAAGTGCCTGAGAAGTTCATGAAGGATGCCGTGACTATTCTCTTCACTGAGATTCTCGAGAAGAGCGACGATGCGCATGAGAGATCCATTGACTTTCTGGTGGTGTTGAAGAAGGAGGGCAAACTCAATCCCAATGCCACTGTGGAGGCCTTCAAGTATCTCGTGAATACGATGAGTGAGCGCGAATCAAGCATTCCAAGGGTGACGACAATTGTGGCGTCACTGCTCAGTCGTGCTGCTATGTCGAAGCTCTGCTCCCTGGCGGATATTGCGTCATTCACGGAGAATGGTCAGCACTATCCGCTGCTGCTGCTCGTGCTGCAGCAACTGCACAAGACACTGGGTCGTCAAGCGCTCACGGAGATGTTTAACAAGAGCAAAGTGGACATCATGATGAGTCTGCCAGATGCCGATCGCACAAAGGATCGCATGGCGGAGATACTCGATGATCGCAACCTGAGCTTCCTCTATCCGCTGCTCAAGGTGCAATCTGAGCTGTGGAAGCAAATCCAGCTGGATCCCAATCCGCAGCAGTTCTACAAGTGGATCAAGGAGAATGTCGATGCCAGCTGCTATGCCGATGCTGGCTTTATTCAGGCCATGATGACAGTTCTGCTAAAGTATATCACTCAGGTGAGTTGACAGAGAGTGTGAATATCATGTGTGACGGCTATAAGCTGATTATGGTATGTGTTTTAATTTAAAGGAGACAACAATGGCTGAGGGAATTGATGCGTCTAAGCATCCTGAGAAGGCTCTCATTGAGAAGGAGAGGAAGTACTTGGAGAAGTACTGTCCAATTCTCAATGCTTTCCTCAAGAGTCCCAATCTTCAATTGGTGTCAATCTATGCTCTGCAAGTGTATTGCTATACTCTCGATTTTCCCAAAGGTATGTTTCATTGTGTTTAACAGATTATTGTGAGTAAAATATGGTGACTTTTTGTGTATGTGTTTGGCAGGAATGCTTTTGCGATGGTTCACGGCTCTGTATGATTTGGGTGTGATCGAAGAGGATCCTTTCCTGCAGTGGAAGGAGGACATAACTGATGCGTATCCGGGCAAAGGAAAGGCGCTGTTCCAAGTGAATTCGTGGCTGACATGGCTTCAGGAGGCTGAGTCTGAGGATGAGGAGAATGAGCAGTAAAATTCCCCCCAAGATTTTTTTTTCTTCGTCGTGAGTTGATGAGAATTACCACATTATTATTGTGACTTGAAAAATTCTCGCGTGAAGAGAGGGAAAGAGAAGACACAAAAGAAAGAAGAAGAAGAAGAAAACTTAGAAAACACAAAAATACGATTTGGGCATGTGAAGAGTTTATCTGTGCTTTTATTGCTTTCTACGTTTGATGTCCATGCAATGAATGGATGTCATAGTAATATTGGTTTCATTGACACACTTTCTCTTATCACTTGATTTGATCATAGCAAGACAACAAAAAAAATGTTTAGAGATTGCGAAGAGGAGAAGAAATAGTCCGGAAGAGAATCCTCACGGGAATGTGAGTGTATGTGTGTGCGTAAAATAGTAAATTTTTATCAATGGAACTGAATCAAATATGAATTAATCACTGCCCAAGACTATTTATAAAAGAGATGCTTATATTTAAATTAACAGATGATTTGTAATGGATCACAAAGTATGTGGGGAAGAAACTGTAGCTAATTTATAAATGGATAGACACTCATGAGCGAAGCGTATCACTGAGTTTTCACACTATTGATATTTAATAATATAAAAAAAGAGTGTATTTCTTCGTTGGGTCATTAACTAATTAATCAATTTTAAACTTCTATCGCTGTAAACATTGTTTTTGAGTATAACCTTTTTTCTTTCCAAGTAGTTTTTTTTTTTTTGTTTCTCTTATTCACGAAACCGTCTAAACTCCTCAGCATAATTGTATATTCTTATTCCAGAGAGATGGTAAAGTAAATAACATATAAAATATTATAGATGAAATGAACATTAACCAATTACTGTAATCTTGTAATGGGATTTTTTATTTGATTCGTCTTATAGTAAATGTAGAGAGAGAGAGAAGGTGGGAATGAGAAAATCTCTTAGCGATCGATTTTGGGAGAGAAGCGCAGGAGCATAAAAAAAATATTTACGACAAATTAACTTTGTATTGTGGCTGGAGAAAATTCTAAGTATTACTCGCGGAAAAAAACATAGCAACAAATTGGAATGGCGACTTTACTCGAGATATAATGACTCTGAAAAAAAAGCAAAGTGTTATTCACGATGAGCGTTTAAATGATTGATGAGGACTTTGAGATGTAAAGGATAATGTTTGTTTTCTTGTAATCTTCAGTTTCTAGCATACAATTTAATTATATATATATTATAAATATGGGAAAGAAAAGTAAGCGTAAAAATTGTGAACCTTTTGTGACCGAAGTCTAGTTGAGGAGGAAAATCACACTTGTGTAAAACAATTAATCTTTCACCAGATTGATGAAGAAAGATTAAAGAATATTTAAGTATAAATCACACAACTAAAAAAAATTAATATACGAATAAAAAAAACATCAATAAAATTCACTTAAAAGTAGTGTGAAGGAATCGAATTGCGCGCGTGAACGTTAAGAGAGCTTTTAAGTGGATTGTATTGTGGACAAAAAAAGACGATTTTTGGGTGGAGAATTGCAATATTTTAGTGAGGAATTCATTATAATTTGTGATGAAATATTGCAATTGACCGTGCAAAGAATTTCCTTATGAAATGGATGGGAAAGGTGGAAAACCTTTCTGAAAATTAATAGATCAATTGGCATTTTATTCACTGATAAACACACACAATTTCTCTCATTCATTTTCTCATTTTAACAACAGTTTTTTTTATTCGGAAAGTGTTTCATGAAACACACTGAATTTCCCTGGAGAAGAAGAAAAAGTTGCGTGCAATTTGTAAGTGGGAAAAATGTGTAAGTTGCGTGAAACATTGCTCGAAATACACTTGAAAAATAGACAGTAAAAGAATATTGTTGATAAATCGATCTTCTGTGGCCAATTAAGAGATTTTTTACTCTAAAAAACAGTTACATTAAATAGGATGAGAAAGTTTAATAAATCTCTTGATTCGGAAACGAGAATTTCAGTCGGTGGAAAAGACCACAAAACTCATTTGTGCTTCGGAGATATTAAATTAAATTCCCTTTTCAGACACCTTTTTCTCTTTTATCTATTAATAGTCTTCCACTGCCCAATTTCACAAACACTTTCAGCATTATTGCGCCAAAAAAAAAAGGATGGAAGAAAAAGAAGAGAGTTGATGAAATTCTCATTGAATATAAAAGAAAAATCAGCTGAAGCACAAATAAGTTTGTGGAGTGAATTATCGCAAAATCAATTTTTATCGATAGTGGAAAAGCATGTGGGTTGAGAAAAAAGTAATACATTTATGCAAAGAAGCAGAAGAAGGAGTGTAAATTTGCAGGATTAGTTGTGACGTGGTTTGTGTTGCGAAATCGATGAAAATGACTTTGTGAGAAAAACTGCTCCTTTAAGACTACTTAATGCAATTTTAATAAATCTGATGCATCTCGTAATGTTCGATGGCGAAAGACAGGCAGACAGAGAGAGCGAGAGAGAGAGAGAGCCTTTTTGAGATTTGTCTCAGGCGCTACCATGCAATATTTGACTGATTGGGCGGTTCTGGGCATCGTTTTGTCGCGAAAATTTCAATGTCATTTTGTATAATAGTGGTTTAAGAGAGAGATTTGAAAAGGGATGTTCAGGCGCTGAATGTTATGAGACTAAAGAATTTAATAAAAATGCACCCGTTTTAAAGTGGCAAACAAGCTATTTTTACTCCATCACGCGTCTATTGTTCCGGATGGAAATTCTATTTTCAGATGGTGGAAAGATCAAATTGCGCAAAAGGTGTGCAAAAGGGACAGAAAGGAGTCAAGGAAGCACGCGCAACCCTGAGATTTCGGTAGGAATTTTCACAAATTCAAAAAACTCTATTCAATTACTAATTGATGATTTATTTTCTACGCTGTGTAATATATTTTCCTCTTTACAAACACCAGCGAAATAGAGCTAAAAAGTGCAAATGAAATACTCTTTCTATCAACAAATTGTGAAAAGAGAACTTCTAATTGGACTTAACTAACTAAAAGCTTTCATTTGCACATGTCTGACACATAAAATGCAAATAAACCGTGTTTTATGCTTCTAAACCACAAAAAGTTCAGTCTTGTACAGTTTTATATTCGCAAAACTATGTTTTTACGTCGACGAATGCCTCAAAAACGATGAAAAGTCAACTTTTGAAAGTTAAGAGATATGATATATATGACTTTTATTTTTGACTTTAGGAAGTCATTGAAAATAATTGAAATTAATCAAAATCATCAATTTATTTGGAAGATTAGGAGTTTAAGGAAAAATTAGGTAAAATTCGAAGCGATTTCATATCTCAAACTTCAGTTTGTTCTATTAAGAAACACATAAGAAACTGAACAACACGTCGACTGACAAACATGTTTGCATAACATGTGTTAATAAAACTTTTTGATAGATTTTTCCACCCAAACTCGCGCTGAAATGTGTCCAAATTCCATCCAATTGGCCGGAAGATTGAAGATGCAGTGCTGGAATTTGCATATAAATGAAATGTTACGCTGACAAATCAGGAAAGTGCCTGCAGAGTTGCGCCCAAAGAGTCAGAGAAACAGCGAAAGTTGACAAATTTGCACGCCATTTTTTTTCTTAGGTTTGCAAAACTTTCCTTATCATCGCAATACCGTCAATTTCCCCGGAGCCTCTCTTGTCCTGGGCGCTCCTCTTCCACCCCATCCGCGGGGCAATTTTCGTGTGACTGGTTTTTTTCTCTACTGCTTCTTTTTTCTCCAATCCATTAATCCGACGCTGAACGCAGCCTCGACATTCCCTGGGACGGGAAAAGTGCTCTCGCGATGGTTGAATTGAAGATGATGTACTGAAGGCAGAAACACGATAATCAGTCGAAGGTGATTTCAATAAAACTCATCCGCATTTTTATTTTATGCCCTCAGTCGTGGCGATAAGTCTGTCTCCATGAAGACGCCCCGCCTTTTCAGCGGAAAAGGGAGCGCTTTTCTCAGCAATTCAAGCGGCCCGTGAAGCCTCTTAAAGGCGATGAACCAGAGACGACGGCAAAGGAGTCAATTTTCCCGCGTTTTGTGTTTGATTTGGCGGCTTTGATGTCCTCCTATGTTGCTTCATTTTCTCACCCACGCACAGACACTGGTCAGAGAAGTGCGCGCACAAACCCACATTTGGGGTTCAATTAACCCAGAAGTCGCACGTTATTTCCACTTACTATTTTCGCGTTGGGCAAATATTTGTCTTCCCTGTGGTTTGCACTTTTCCAACAAACTGTCCATCAACAGGTGCTGATGACCCCGAACAATGCAACTTGTCGCGCTCTGGGAGTTGCTTTACAGCGCAACAATTGCAATAAAGTCCTCCTCAGTCCACGATTCGATGTGTAGTTGCTAAAAATGTGATGTTTGCGTTAGAAAATCGTTGAGCCTGAGGAAAGGTTAATTTCTTAGGTCAACATTGCGAGGAATAAGCTCTCTGCGTCAACAATGTGCGTCCCTCGGATTGGCCAGAGTTATTATATTCTTTAATCAGCCGTTGACAGCAAACTAATCACACATTTTGGTTCTTTGTCTCAATATTTCTTCCCCAAACAACATGTGATTCATCTAAGGGTGGAAAAAATGCGGAAAGACAGTGATTTTCGCTTTAATTGCCCAATTAAACAATCTCATGACTTTGTTGTATTTATTTTTCGACTTATATAAAAGCCACAATTCATATTGACTTTAATTCATTCGTTGTGAAAATTTTAAGCAGTGAAGTGAGACAAAATGGAACTTATTGCATTGCAAAATGCTATAACAGAACCTGATACTTCACCAATTATAAATATATTGAATTTTGCCATTGGCTATGTGAGTAAAGACATTCTGAAGGATGCTTGTGAAATTTTTAAGGAAGTAACGAGAAAAACTCTGGTAAGACTTATTTTAAGAAGCTATTTTGTATCTTGTAAGATTTCTTGGTTGAGATTAAGTATAATGATTTTCAATATTAAAAAGAAATTGATTAAGAAATGTTCTTACAAATATAACCACAATCTGAGACAACTTTTTCACTATTGTTTTGACTGAAGTGCGTATGGAACAATAACATCTGGCGCTTTAAAGCTGACTTTAAAGTTTTAAACTAACTTTTGTGGTTTTTCCAAGATTATGTACGTTGTGTATGAAAAAATTATGTTATTCATCATATTTATGTGCGACATAGAAACCCTATAAAATGATTTATGTGGCCAAATTCAAGCGCAAGAGGAAAATGTGAACAATTTTTCGTTTGCGTTATATCTCTTCAAAACAACCCTTTATTAAAACAATGAGAGAATTACTGAAAACCCGTAAGAAACTAGAATTTATAATTGTTTGAAAAAAATTTATGTCGTGTTAAGTTCTTCCATAGCGAAATTGACATAACATACGTATGTCAGCTCTGTAAATTAACTTGTTTAATTACCTGCAAATATGGTTTTTTTTTTTACTATATTTAGTAGTTAAATATCGCAAAACAATGCAAAATAACTCTGACAACAGTCGCCAAATCTCAGACATTATAAGAAATTTCCATTTTAATTAATTAAAAGAAAAAAAACCCCGCTTGAAGTAACTCCATCTTCTTGTTCAATTAATTCTGTGCTCATTGAGAGAACTGTGACTCTTCAGAATATTCTGGAGCATTCTTCAACAGTAGAGGAAATTCTCTGCATGTCCTTTCACAAAGAAGAATCGATAAAGGAGATTGTTTCAGTCTTAAACTCTGCTGTTGTATAGAAATTCAAAACGCGAAATTCAAACCAAAATATGAGCGCAAAAAGTTAAAAGGCAAATTTACATCGAGCTGAGAAGATATATGAACTGTCCAAGAAAGGCACATGCGACTGCTAAATTGCTATGATATTTTCCAGGAAAAACAGCTTGAAGGCGAGGCTCTGCAGTTCCAGTACGGTCCTCCCACGGGCAGTGCGGAGTGGAAGGAGCAGACGGCTCTGTTTCTGAGCCAAGCCTACGGACATCCGGTGCTCAGGGACAACTTGGTGCTGAGCTGCGGCTCTCATCACGCCATGCAGTTGGTTCTCACCACTCTTCTCGATTTGAACGGCGTCTTGTTTGTCGACGAGCTGACATTTGGCCTGGGCATTTTCCAGCAATTCACCTCCATCGAAATCGTGCCCGTGGCATTTGACATGGACTCTGGTCCAGACGTGGACGATCTCAGGCGGAAGGTGGCTGAGAAGAGATTCGCGCCGTGCAAAGGGAAGCTCTTTTGGGGCGTGTATTACACCATGACGGTGTTCCACAACCCCACAGGCGTGACATATTCGGCGGAAGTGTGTCGGAAGCTGGTGGAATTGGCGCGGGAGGAGAATTTCCTAATCGCCAGTGATGACACCTCGAATCTCCTGAGTTACAGCACAAAAGTGCCACCCAAGCGACTCTTTGCCTACGATAATCCCGCTAACGAGGACTACCAAGGAAATGTTGTGTCTCTGGGAAGCTTTTCGAAGATCTTTTCGCCAGGAACAAGAATCGGATGGCTAGAGTGTCCGCAAAGGGTGTCCAAATTCTTCGCAAAGTCTACACTTCTTAATTGCACCGGAGCTACAAATCACTTCACATCTTTTCTGGTGGCAACTCTGATCAGAGATGGACTTCTGCACCAACATTTCGAGCAAATCCTCCTGAAATACAAGGTAAATCATGTGCCACAAAGGCAATAGTTCTTCTTTGTACTGAGGAAATGCAATTTTCTTTGGCAGGAACGCCACAATTTCGTCTACAACTACTTGCGGAAGAATCTGCCGGAAGAAGTGGATGTGAAAAGTCCTGGCGGCGGATGCTTTCTTTGGCTCAGATTTCCACCTGACTTCTCTGTGACAGCTTTTGGCAGTGTTTTGGCTCAAGAACATGAGCTTCACATTTTCAGCGGATCATTTTTTGCAGTGAATCCCGAAAAGTTCAGCAACTTCTGTCGCATCGTCTTCATATTCCACGATCTGCCCACGCTCGCCGTTGCTTCTGAGAAATTCTGTGCTACTTTTAGGGCATTCTCCGGTATCAAGTGAATCGACGATATAACTTAACGCTGAAGGAGAGAAGCATATTTCGTAAATGAATCTAACAATTACATGTCATTATCTTGTACTCCCGATGGAGCTCTCATTAACCTTTTCCTGCATTTGCTAAAAAAAAATCTTTAATAACACTTCTTCGCCATGCTTTCATTATTACAGGCGAAGCAACACCTTTTTTCCAGGGACAATTATTCGCATTAATTGCAATTGTCGAGCAAAATTGCCCTACTTTTAGCATCGTTTAATCTCTCCAACTTTTCCTGGAGTTTTTTTGCACTCTCTCCAACCACTCTTGTGGTCTTTTGCCGCCATGCTTTTCAATAAACATTCATGCTCCGAGGAAACATATAATGAGAACTGAGTGGCAGAGTTGAGTAAATGATTAAAGCAGGACATTGTCTTTAACCATAGTACATTTAGTCGAATTAATTTTCAGGATTGCAATTCAAGGAATTCAAGTGTTTGCATTTCAGCTCACATTTTACACACATAAAGCGACATTTGAATCAATAAATGGTAATTAAGAATTAATTGAAAATTTCATCGCTTCACGCGTTCAATTTTAATATTGTAATAAGCATGTATGCAGGTGTTCAATTTACAACAATCCCACGTAAATATTCAATAATATCATTTCGGAATAAAAGGAATTGATGCGTTTGCGTAGGAACGCCTCTTTATATGCCCCGCCCATTCACAAAACGACAATGAAAGGGGTTTGAAATTCATTGAAAAATTTACATGTTTTCAGCAAAAACCATCACTTTGATGCGTCAAAGGAGTTTCAATTGAATGTCTTATGATTAATTAAGTTCAATCAAACATCTTGAATCTTTGTCTTTTAGTCTTCACTTTAAACTATTCAATTTCTTATCTGTAATGTTAGAAAATAAGATTATATATTAAGTACTCTCAATTAAGGATGATAATTTGATGCGAATTTTTGTTGATTACATTGCCTAAAATAATAAATGAGTGAGATGAAAAAGGCGCGGAGATTGATTCTCTTTCGCAGTTGGCATTCAAGTCACCGCGTCAAACGAGGTGAATCGGACAAATGTGCACATCAGTGGCGAGAATGTGGCAATTTCTAATGCAGCATGATTAACAGCTGGTATTCCTTGGGCGAGGAAGTAATTTGGCAGATTTGACGACGGTCTGTGTGGATTAATAGAGCCCTCCCACGGAATGGTGCTGTATATGTCGTGGGAAAGTGAGATCTGGAACAATGGACCGCCCAGTGAAAGGCCCCATGACGTCACACATGCGAGCTGAGCAGATCCTTCGGCCGATCCTTCGCCGTCGCGGCGGCTCGGCGGCCGCGCCGTCCAGCATAAAAGGATGTCTCCTTGTACTGCTGGCAGCATTCTCGCACAGAGTCTCCGACACGACGCACCCTCGCGCCCACAGCCAAGTGTGCAGTGATAATCATCGAGGGAAGAGTGTGTGACTATAGTTCGGCGTGTGCAAGTTTCCACTAGATTTAATTCCACGTAAGTGATGAAGCCCCCATTCTTTACTGCATCGGCTTTTATTGTGGATGCGGTAAAAATTCCCTCAGTGCCATAAAATATGCTCCTTTTTTATCGAACTTTATTAAAATTTTACACCCTGAAATAACACTGCGCGCTCCTTGAAAGTGATCCTATGTACACTTCCATGTCTCCTCTCCAGTTGGATATCCTTTTGAAGATTGAATTGCATGCTGAAGGAGTATTCCAAATCGTCAGGAGTTCACCAAACTTTCTCTTTTATTTCCCCAACTTGACGATACGAATTCCAAAAAACCTGCTCTTCTTTCATTGGCGACACACGTGCAAAACGAGAGCGAAGACCAAAAAGAAATTCGTGGGTAGAAATCATCAATAAATTAGTGAATTAATAGAATGCCAATTGGCAATTTGGAGAGTGAATAAATCAGGATGTTTCATCGCTCGATTTGCGTCGTAATGGGCACTCGAGGCGCGAAGCCCAGCCATAAAGAATCCTCGAAATTGACTAACAAGAAACCGCCACTGGGTTTAATTGAGTCGCTTTCACTCAATTTCCGCCCCCGCCCAGTGATGAAATTCATAATTAATACCAATTATGTAATTTCTGTGATGAAATTAATATTGCCACATGATTGATTTATTCACATCTGATTGGATCAATTACATCTTGAGATGCTCTCTAAATGTAATTGTTTTGAAGTCTTTGCCTTGAGCTTTCTCTCAAACTATTCTTCCGGTCATTGGAGTTTCTGAATGACATTTCATAAATTACAGAAAATGTTATTCCGCAAGAGCAATTGTTTTAACGAGATATGTGATTTTTTGCATCTCTAGAAACAACATTGACTAGGAGAAGCATGTGTTCTCGTGCAAGCAATGTTTGCACAAGATGATAAAAACACATTATATCTATATATACTTTCCTCATTCTTTCGTAGGAAATTCACGAAATATGATATGTTAAAGCAAATATTGTTGAAAGGGAGAAGAATGGTGGGAATTCAATAATAAATTTGTAAAATAAAAATTGTCCTTTTGCTGGTGTCTTAAACAATAAATCACGGGATAAACGAAGATGTGGAGAAAGTGATGGCGATGTTTCTTCAGCAAATAACGAGGCAATTGATGGCATTTCTTCCCATTGTCGACGTGCAATATTACGCGAAATACGCCAAAGTTTCAATTTCACTTGTTGAACTTCTATCTATATTTAAACTCTCTGGTGAATGGTGAAATTCTGGGGTTAAAAATAGACACAGAGGGTAAATCAGTGAATTCACAAGTTATGGAGAAGACTCTTTAAAATTTTGCAAGTATCTGAATTTTGTCTATAGTCTCTGTATATGAGATTGTAATTGAATTTTGCAGCTGCATTTGTAGATAAAGTTTTCTTCTGATAGTGCACTTGAGAGAATGCGTTCCAATAACTTTTCCTTCCATCTCTTGTATTCAGATTTGTTATAGGAAAATGCCTCACAAAGTATTCTGCATACACAAATTCACAATATTGAATGAAAACTTCCGAGAAATTCTGTGGTTTTCCAATCAATTCCTTCGTACTTGCGCGGGTGGTCTATAAAATACACGCATTATGTGGAATTTCTTCTGCATTGAAGTCAAACTGGCAATTTGTTCGACGCTTAGCTTTGACTTGGTGTTCTTGAATTTCACACAAGGAAGGGTGCAAAGGACTGGGAAACGCCTGTGGAATTTCATTCCCAACAGATTGACAAAATATGTCATAAAACACGTGAGAGATACATAAATGTGACTACATATCAATTTACACGCTCGACACCAACGCAGACGAATCTTCACGTGTGAAGAAGTAGAATTTATGAATTCAATATTTCACTCGGTCACTTTTAGTGATATTTATTGTATTTTAATATCTCAAGATATTTCAGTGCAGGTGACAAACGGCAGCGAAGAAAGCACAGAACGACAATCCCACTCCACAGATAATTCATAATAATCGTGGAGGTGAAGCTGGAATGCCAAAGTGTGGCGGGGTGAAAAAAAAAGACATCATACAGTCGTACTTTTAATGGAAATTGAGAGAAATGGGAATTCATGTGTGTTGGAAAAGATTGCTTACGGAGGAGCAAAAAGGTAGAACAACTGTGCACAAATATTGCCAACATAATGGCACTATTTTAATCTTCATTTAACACCTGCAAAAGGGGTGGGAAAAAACTGAGAGCGCAGCAAATACGACATGGTTTTGTCCACATTCACACAATTCCTTATCACCTGATTCAATTTCCTCCCACACAACAGAGTGCATAAATGCATGAGGCGAAGCTTTTTCCAATTGTATTACTCACGATGTCTTTAGATTTTGCAATATTCCTCCCATGCAGTAACTTCAAATAAATATTTTCGGCAATATAACATCCAGTTTCCTAGAAGCAATATTGCATTTTCACTGGCAAACCCTCCAATTCATCTTGAAACTAGTTCCTCTTCTTCCGGGAACAATTTACTATACACTGCACTTGACCCTTTCTGCTTGATATCATCTTATATTGGCAATTTTCCCCATCATCACGCTTATTGCGTTTTGAGAAGTACTTCTGAGGGATGATTTTTTATTGGTCTACTGAGTGCGTTTCAGATGCTTATTTTTAGACCACGACGAGTCTTTGCCTATGCAAAACACAAGTTATTTTTCAAATAAAAATCACTGTCTCAATTTAAGATGATTTTCTTGAAAAGATTTATTCTATTCGGTCATATTTCCAACCAAAAGAATGAGGAAAATTATTATTATTAGAAAACATGTGCAAAGTTCAGAACACAAAACAGAGTTTTCTCCATTAACTTACAGTGTATAATGCAATTAGCGATATTTTTTGCAAGAAAACAAGATGCGCCTAAAAATCTGTTTTCTACAAATGTCCATAAAATGTTTTGTGCGTAGAACTTCAGAAGAAAAGTGATTGTCAGGGCAAAATCTACATTTTCTATGTTACTCCAGAAACATATGAGACAAATGAAAGATCTTCTCAAAAGACATAAGGAGTCTAAAATGCGCCTTGTTGCTTTGTTAGCAGATTGAGAGATGAATAACAAGTCAAAATCTCAAGCTATAATATGCGTTGTAAAAAGTGTGTCTTGAGAAAAATTCATATGGCAATAAAACGACACACAATATAAAAAAAATTTCCTCCGGGCACAAACAATTGAATACTTTATGTAGAAAAGAAAGATGCGATCAAATGGCAAGCGTGGCTGAATGTGTGAAAAATCGCTGTGAAAAACTCCTTAAAATCGCGTTAAGGCAGTGATGAGGTGATAATTAAGACAGTGAAAATTGGGTAATTCTGTGGGTGTTTTCCGATGTTATTATATTTTATCCCACCGGCTGAACAACTCCCCAAACCAAAATATTCCAATTAACAAGTTCGCCGTACTTAAATATTTGGGTCCACAGGAAAGTATACAGAGAATTTAAACACGAGCCATGTCGGAACCACAATAAACACAGGCAATATTTAGGATCTCTTCATGCACATCCTGTGTGGATATCCCATGAACAGGTGGGCTGAGGATATTTCTGCGCCATGTTCACCACAGAAACTTCATAAAACCTTTAATTGGATTAAGTAAGATTTTCCCATGTGCGCTGGAATGGGCGTGAAGCTGAGGAAGACGTTTGATTTGCGAAGGGTGGCAAAATTGTGCCATGCTTTTAAATTTACCTTTGCATTAGTGATATCCATTATAAATTTGCCACAAGAAGGTATTTTTCTTATTATTTCTAATCTCTCTGCCAATTTAATCTCGTCTTGCAGAGCATACAGCAATTAATTGTATTTTTGTGTGATGAAATGAACGATTTGCATAGTGAAGTGAAGCAAGAAATCCAGACAATAAATCAATGTGAGAAGAGCGTCTTTCCATCTCAATTATTGCCCGAGGAATATCCGGATGTGTGCCAAAGTTAGCTTATCAAATAAATCACAGGACGAGATTTCAATTCCTGCAAAGGAAGGAGACATTCTGGCACTTTATGAGCAGGAGAAAGTGGGATTTGGACAATAGAGGAGCTTAAAAGGTCACCAGAGCATTTCTCTGGGGCTTTTTTGCCTCCTTCCGAGCGCATTTCTTGCGTCTTTTCACTGGCGTAATTTTATTACAGATTTGCGTGAATAGTAACTTTTTTCGCACAGAAACTTCATCTTTTCCTTCATAGTAGATTATGAGAAAAAATTTAAATGCATTTTATTATTGAATTTATTACTCTCAGGAATATTTAAGAAATGACAAATTGCATATTATTAAATTTACTTCGTGATGAGCTAAAGTTATTTGATGTGAATTCATGCAAAATATTTAATTTGTAGAAAAATCTCAAAGTTTCCTGATTGCATTCTTTCTCTCTTTGCCGTGAGAGTTTGCCGTGAGAGTTTGCCGTGAGAATTGAATGAATTGAGTAAAGACTAAAGTGGATCGGCAAAGACAGATACCTTCTAATCTTTGCTGACCATTTGTCACATGAAAGACGAATATTTATTCTTCTGGACTTTGCTTCCCCCTTTTTGTGGAGGGTATTTTTAGGGTGACGGACAATGCGATGAATTCCTGTCCGTATTTCTTCATCTTGCAAAATGTCTTCTACTGTTTTTCTGCCTTAGCAAACTTTTCTTTCAAGCCTCCCCATTAAGAGGGCAAGACATGAGATTAGAAGCTATGCTGACTACTTTTTGCCATGTTTTCTTCTTTTCTTGCAGAGCAGCTCAGTTAAGTTTTGAAAGAGAAGATTATCCTTTTATAATATTTTCATTACATAGAATAATAATGATGAAACACAATTAGCAACATACAATAAGACGAAGTTTCTTATTTACACACACTGTAATACACACTTAATGGCGAGGCGCGAACCGTTTCTCATTATTGTTAAAACTTTCTCATACGAGTGGATAATAAATATTAGCTCACTTTCTAATATGCGTAGTATTAAATTCTTATTAAACATCTAAAGTCAAACTTGAAGAATATCAAGCTCTTCCGCGTTGGAATTTTCTAAGCTCAAACACTCCACACCAAATATGTAATTGCACCGAAAAGTACATTCTCGATGATTTGATCTCTGTGTCCATCAAGCAAATGAAACCACGCATTTTGCGAGTGAATTTTTGTGCATTTGCCAAACAGAATGTGACGCGCCCGTCATCAGCTTAATAGCCACAAATTGGCGGGAAGAGATGTGCTGAAAGCACAGAGGAAGAAATGCTCCTCACGCAGGAGACAAATTGATACACTTTTTCCGCTTGGCATTCCACCCACTCTTCCTGTCGCCGGAAGAGTGGGCGAATATAGGAGCATCCTGGCAGCGGTGAAAAGTCAAAATTCGCACATATCTCCTCATTCAGGTGATGTGCGGTGGAGAAAAATGAGGTCAATTCCAAGTGGCTGATGGTTAGTTATATCTGATATCCCGATAAAGACGGCATTCAGCAGAAATTTAATTTCAAGTCACATCAAACGCAGCAATATATTGCAAACTTGTTGCAACATCAAAGAACGCATTCTGAAAGTTTTACTATGAAGTGGAAAAAGAAGCTTTTTACAGTTCCTTGTGAAATTGGCCGGAAGTAAATAAACTCAGAAACTTTACAAGATAATTAAATATCCTGTGATCTATTTGTGAGTCAATGTAGTACATGAATAGGACTTCATGTTTAATAACCGTACAGATTGTGGGAGATGTGGATTAAAAGGCCAATTTCCGCTTATTATATCCATAGAATGACTTCAATGTGCCGGATGCTATTCTTCATCATGGTCTCGGCGGCGGTCTTTCTCCACTCGTCACACTGCGGCCCGGCCAGATCCATTGCCCTGGCGGCGTCCAGAGCCGCCAAGATTCCCCGCTCCATCCGGGCACCCTTCCGCAACACAGAGATGATGACTGCTCGCGGCTTCGGCAAAAGAGCCCAGATGATAAAACTGAAAGAAGGTGGGGAATCTCGGGACTCCCCTGAAGAATTTGCAGCATTGGTTGTGATGTGCTTTCTTGTGTTCCCAGGAGCAGTTCCATGGGGTTATGGCAAGAGGGAGACACACTTCCTGGACGAAATGGTGGAGAATCAGGATCCATTTGAGCAAATTGTCACTGACAATTCCATTGAGAGGTGAGTGAATAATAAATGTATTGCAAAAAGCACATATTATCTTAAAACAACATAAATGTATCACAAAAATTCGTAGAATTTCGGAACATACACAAAAAACGCTTACTTAACGTGTTCTTTGACATTATACCTTTATATTCATCATCAAACCACTCGTTCTGAATACTTTTTTACTGAAATATGACTTTGACTCGCTCATTGAAAGAACTTTGACCTCTGCCATGAGTCCTAATAATTCAAATGAGTCTAAGGACTTCCTAAATTTCAGCCATTCCTTCAGAGTTTTATATTTCACCTAAATTCACAATTTAAATGCTTGATGTGTTACCATCCCACGTCAAAGAGACAAAGTGTCAATAAGACACCCAAATTGAGGACTTTTTATATGAGTATCATCTTAGGGTTGAAAAGGGCATCACTCGTGGGAGACAAAAAGGAGTTTATCGCCATTCTTTCTTGCATATTAAATGCTCAGATGAGCATCTCTATTTCAGTGGCAAATGTGAGAGAGAGTTACCTTTTTTCTATCTTCTAGCTTTCCCATCGATTGGTTTGTCAACGAAATGGTGAACAATCCAATTCTCACCAAGTCCATTCTGAGGCGCTTCGTGGACACAGACAAGGATGGCATCCTGACAGCTCACGAGCTCCTGGCCGGCGCTTCTCTGTCACCACACCAGCTGGACAGTAATGTGTATTGAGGCCAGGATCTGGTCGCTCCTTGGGGAGAAGATCTCTTCACTAAATCAAGTGTAAATGTATAAAAGAGAACCGTATTCAAACACTAACAGAAACTCTTCGTTATTGGAATAAATTAAAAGTCTATTAGCAATATAACATGTTAGTTAATAAACACTCACAACAGACGAAGACACTTGGAATTGTTAGCTATGAGATAAATTGTATTTAATTTCCCTGTCGACATTCAGTTTGTAACTCTCCATTCCGCAATTTCTCCTCCTCTCTGGGGTGTTTTCGCCGGAAACACCCTCACGAGACTAATTTGGTTATGAATAGTTGCTAATTTTATTTCACCTTTTCTCACTGCATCGCTCAGGGCTGGTGAGCAATGCAGTCTGGAAAGGTGTTTTCCTTTTCTTTTTTTCCATACGAATGAGGAATGTATTGTAAGGTAAAATGTCGAGTTCTGTTGATTAATCTTTCAAAGTAATATTATAAAACTTAATAATAACAGTTTGGCAAATAAACACGAAAATGTTTCGTTCTATTTATTATTTTTGCTGGATCACAAATTACTGTGAAACTGTGTTGAAATCAAGTGGAAAAATTGCTCAAATTCTATTTACATCTATTATCATATAAAATTACAGCTGCACATTTACATATATATAGAGTTTTGACGCCCTTTAAGTTCTTTGTTTGAAAAATTGTCCACAAAGCTCTTTAACACTCATGGGTTATTTGACAGACAAATTATTCAGCATTTGCACACACGTGCTCCTCACTCCATCTCTTCACTTCCGTCACTCTCAATACAGAAAATTGAGCCTCAACTTTGTTTAGTTTTGCCTGAAATTAAAGAAGGAACTTTTCTGGTGAGTATCTCTTTAAAAGTGTCGGCTTTTGAAATAAAATTTTAGAAGAATTTGAAGATGCGACGAAAATAACCAGAGAAATCATTGAAGATAAAAGCCATGATTAGATTAGTGACGATTTCAGCTTGATATCGTTGTCACAAAAGCAAGGGTCGTTGATTGCCTGACCACAATATTAAGATAATTTCCCCATCAAGTGTGGAACGACACTTTCTATCGTCAGTGAGTGATCAGCTTCTGAGCCAAAATGCTGCGTTTTGTGATCTTGGGAATCATCATATTCGGTCTCTCTGGTGCTTTTGGTGCAAATATACTGGTTCTCGAGGGACTTCCTTCGCCTAGTCATCACCTTTTCTTCCGCACCGTCAATGAGGCTCTTGTGGCGCAAGGTCACAATGTGACTTCAATGAGTGCTGATATTGACACCAATCCAGTGGCGAACTTGACGCACTTGCATAACGATAAAGTGTACGAAGAATTCTACAAGACTGACGGCGATGAGCAGTTTAACATGATGAACTTCGGCCAGAATGGAAATATTAACACTCTGATTGACAAGGTGGAGATGTTCGTGGCCACTTTGGCAGGTGTCAGGAAGTCTAAGGGTTATCATCAGTTGCTGGCCTATCCCGATGACTTTCACTTCGATCTGGTCATTTATGACTACATGGCGTTGCCTGTTTTGCTAGGATTTCAGCACAAGTTCAAGAATCCTCCCTTAATTATCATGTCGGCCTTCAGTGGAATCGCCCCCACGCTCAATTTCGTCGGATCATCCCTGTATCCGGCCTACATTCCCTTCTACTTCGGCACAAGCGCAACAGAGACCTTCTTCGGGAGAGTGGAAAACACCTTCGTGTACTATTTCGATTACTTCTATCGCCAATACTATGCACTGCCGAAGATCCACGCAATTGCGAAGCAGGACTTCCCAGACCTACCTCCCTTTGCTGACCTAGAACGTCAGACCCGCCTAGCTATGATCAACTACAGCCCAGCCGTGTACCAGCCAGAGCCTGTGCTGCCCAATGTCATCCCAATCGCAGGAATGCATCTGCAGAAGACCTCAACTCTGCCGAAGGACCTCCAGGACATCCTCGATCATGCTCAGAATGGCTTGATCCTGTTCAGCATGGGTACGAATGTGAAAAGTTGGATGCTAGGCGAGGAAAGGATACAGAAATTCATTGAGGCCTTCAGGAAATTGCCTCAATACACATTTTTATGGAAATTCGATGACGATCAATTGTCAAATGTGCCCAAGAATGTGATAATTAGAAAGTGGATTCCGCAGAACGATGTCTTGACTCATCCCAACACCAAACTGTTCATGAGCCACTGCGGACTCCTCAGTTCTCTCGAATCTACCTGGCACGGTGTGCCTATCCTTGCAGTTCCTGTCTTCCTCGATCAGTTCACGGTAAGTGCACAATGGGAAGAGTATGAAACCTTATCTAAGTTTGTATTTTCAATTATTTTCTGACTCAGAATGCGGATCAAATGATTAAAGCCGGAATTGCCGAGAAGATCATGATCAATAGCTTTACGTCTGACGAAGTTTATCAACTTGTGCAGAAGATGATGACTTCTTCTGATTATAGAGACAATGCAAGGATACGTTCGCGTTTATTCAGAGATCAACCCATCTCCCCAAAAGAAAGAATGTTATGGTGGATTGAATTTATTATAAGGAATCCTGATGTAGAGTTCTTACGCAGTAATTCCATTCACTTAAATATCTTAACACTCCACAATGTCGACGTTATATCCTTCTTCACAGTTGCTATCATGAGTTTCCTCTATCTCATCTACAAAATTACAATGGTCCTCACAAACAGTCGGAAATCAGTTGTGAAGAAGATGAAAAATAATTGAATAAATAGAAAAAGCAAGACACTCTTTTAGAACGTCCAACAGGTGATAATTGAGACATCCGGGTGTCTTTCGTAAATTGATACGTCAATATCGCCCTATCGAGTGACATAATCGCTGATCTATACAAGCCAACTGGCGATGGGAGTGATGTATCGGCGGGAAAGCGCGGGAAGGCGCCCAGTTTCGGTTATTTAAGAGGCCATCGAGCGGAAATGTTGGCAGTTGAGGGCCAATATGCATTCTCGTGGGCATTTTCTCGTGCTGTGCGCGCTCTTGGGAGTTGCAGTCGCCAGGGATTGGCGCTGCCCTCTGAACGGTGGATTCGGTCGGGAGATCCAGGGCTATCCACACCCTTCCAGTTGCCAGATGTACATGACCTGTGCCGATGACAACAACCTAGTGGAGGCGTCCTGTCCTTCTGGAGAGGAGTTCAATCGCTGGACACTCCGGTGCGACGTTCCCTCTCGCCACGGATGCCGCGAACGGCCGCAGAGTAGGAACAATCATCTGCCCAGCTGCCACAACCAGGCAGACGGACGAAAGTTTCCCACGAGCAACTGCAACTCCTTCGTGATCTGCCTCGCTGGACAGCCCAAGCTCCAGTCCTGCGACTGGGGACTCCTCTTCAATGCCGATCTGGAAGTTTGCGACTGGGCAGCCAACGTGAGATGCTATGAAACTGAGGGTCCGGCAATAGGCCCAGCTCCGGACTGCATGTAAAATTTCCCGAAAATTTACTGAAATATTTTCGTCCCTAATCATTCAATATGTCTACAGGTATCACGATGGAGCTTATCTGCCAAATATCTACGACTGCAACAGCTTCTATGTTTGCAAGAACAACGTGCCAATGCTGCAACGGTGCGATGCAAAATTGGTCTTCGATCCCTCGATCAGCACATGCAACTGGCCGGACCAGGTCAATTGTATCCCTGAACCCCTGCCCGATGTGGACCCCTTCCTTCCGGTAAGAATCAAGTTGTCTTTGGGTGAAAATTCGTAGTGATAACATATTCGCAACAGGACTGCAACGGCCGAGAGTGGGAGTATATCGCTCACCCAGCAAACTGCGGAGCCTACTACAGATGCGAGCACAACCGAGCTGTTCTCTATCATTGCGACGAAGGTCTCCTGTTTGATCCTCGCCTCCTCACCTGCAACTGGGCGCCACAGGTTGTCTGCCACAGCAAGTGATTTGATTTAACCGTCTCTGATAATGCTGCTGCTTTCTTCTCACTCTCTTTTTATCTAATCGACATTTTTTGAGATTACAAAGGACTGTGTTGAGTGATTTTCTATAAGGTGATAAATTGAGGAAGAGTGTTTACTGGGGGATTTCAACATCAAAGAGTTGATGACACATAGAAATAAATTGTCGATGATGTCAATTTTGGACTGTGGAGTTTCTTGAAATCATGCTTCTATTTCGGGGGGGAACAGAGAGGTGAAGAAAGACAAGATCAGAATAAAGCGATTTGTGAAATTTATTTCAATCTTCTTGGCCCAACTCTTTTGACACGCACTGTACGTTCACTGGAAATTTTGGTTAACATCAATGAATTACTTGTGGTCGGTGTTTATCAAGGCAAAATAGAGCCTCGTCTTTCACAAAATTTATGCTTTTGTAGTTTGGAGATCAAGTTAAGTCCTCGCTGGAATTCCCTTATCACAGTTCCATGAACGATAGATTAGATTGCTCCCTTCTGAAGATTGGAGACCCAGTATAAAAGGTTGTGAAGTACAAGAGAAGCAATCTTTCTGTGAAATTTTCTCTACTCATCATCTCGAAGAGGACTATACCACCATTAAGGAACAATGCGAGAGAGTGTGAAGTGTGAGTCTGTGGAGAGCTAGAAGTGGTTTGAAGGTACTCAACTGCTGTTATTTGATTTTTCAGTGGTGATCTTGGCTCTTGTGAGCCTGCAAGTGAGTCTTGTAGTGGCACAGGAATTGGTTATGCCGGAAGGCTTCTGCGTGGATCGAGTGCAAGGACACTTCGCCTTTCCCGGTGACTGCAACGGATTCATTTACTGCCTCGGAGATGGAACAGGAGCGGCCGGGAGGTGTGTAGACGATCTGCACTTCCGTCCCGGAACCACTGAAGGAACTGGTGTATGTACATATCCTGAGGATGCCGGATGTGATCCAGATGCAGGAACCACGGAATGTCTCGCAGGAGACTTCTGGGAAGAGAGAGTTCCGCTGACGTGCAATCAGTACGTGCGATGCGTGAACGGTGCAACCGAGACCCGTCGTTGTTCCGGAGATCTCCACTGGGATTCGGCCTCCCAGCAATGTACCACACCTAACCTGTCGGATTGTCCGTATCCGATCTGTTCTGAGAACCCAACTCCGGGCGAAGTAGAAAGATTACCTCATCCGATGGACTGCGAGCGGTAAGTGAATCAGGAGGATTTCGGCCAGGCCTTCATTTCTGATTTTTCTATGTTTTCTAGGTACTACATCTGCATAAATCAAGAACCCATAGAACAGTCGTGTGCCCCTGGTCAACACTTCGACAGAGTAAACCTGTGGTGCACTACGCCAGAAGAGGCGCAGTGCGAAGCCACTGGAGGGCCAGATCCAGAACCCGAACCCGAGCCAGAACCCGAACCTGAACCAGAGCCAGAGCCTGAGCCAGAGCCTGAGCCCGAGCCCGAACCAGAGCCCGAACCCGAGCCAGAGGTTTTCGTGTATTAATTGACTAATTAGAGGATCAATACTGAAATAGCCGAACTAGTCTAGTGTTAATGCCAATGACTTCACATTTTTGTAATAAAAACTCAAGCAATCAACAAAGTCTTTGGTATTTCTAAGAAAAATTCCACTCACCTTATCAGAAGCAGAAGCCCTGTAGTAAATTACTTTGTAAATCCCAAATCAGGCCAGTCACGCTGCGCAATTGGTTTTACAGCTAACAATGAAGCAACTAGCAATGAGTCGGTACAATAAATTTATTGCTCAGAAGCTAAATGGAACTGGTACATTTTCGCAAGAACAAATTTTATCCGGGAAATGAAGGAGGAAGAAAAATTTATAATGCGCTTTCGACAATGACTCAAACTAGTAAAATCGTGGGTCTAGATTAGGGCATGTTGTTGGCTCCTTGGCAATTCTGGCAGCCACATCCGCAACCTGGACGGGGCGGCTGGACGGCTTGTGCCAATCTACGAACGATATCGACGGGTGTGGGTGGCCTCGGAATGTCGTCAGTGATGTCGCAGCCGCAGGGACAAGTGGCTGGGCCGTTTCCGGGAACTTGAGGGCATGGCTGCTGGACTTGACCGGGGGCAGCAGCGCAGCCACATCCGCAGCCACATCCGCAGCCACCTGGGCATCCACCTGCACACCCTCCTGGAGCTGCTCCCGCACATCCGCATCCACAAGCGCTCGCCGGGGCGTCCTCATCGGCTCCCATGCATCCCTGGGCACATGGGCAGCCCTGGCAACCCTGGCAGCCCTGGCAGGCCTGAGCACAGGGGCATCCCTGAGCGGTCTGGGGAGTGTCATCTCCAAGAACGGGCTCTGGAATATGCTCTGGCATAATCTCATCAGCCACGTCCATGCGACTGCTAGGAATGATCTGAAAAAAAAGGATTCAATTGTTAGAATACTGCTGAAAATTGAACTCCAGCATTCAAATTTAGTTTAATCCTTCGTCGCGTAATTCGAGGAAAAAACAGCCTTGTCTGCTTGAGCAATAATAGTCATGAACTTTCTTTACAGACACTGTTATTAACAATTTTAAACCACATTCATGTAACATTTTATGAATATTTTTCACAATACTGCAATGCAAAGCAGCCTGGGGAATTTACAGAACTTCTAGGCATGCTTACCAAATCGTTGCACTCCACATTGTCGCGATAGTCACAGTTCTGGATGTCGTTGTTCCACACGAAAGGTGACACGCAGGTGTGCTCGTACAGAGTGTCGAAGACGCAACTGTAGAACTTGTTGCAGTAGCGACTGTGAGGATAGTAGCCAGGAGACAGGTTGCCGGCCTCGCACTGCTCCCTGGTGTCTCCCAGGACGGCCGTGGTGGCGAAAGCCAGGCACAGGACGAAAGTAAATCCCTTCATTGCAATTTCACAACACACGCTAAGCTGCACAAACGAGAATTCCAGCAATGAATCCGCCAAGTGGCCTTTTATTTGACCACAGCTCTGTCGTCACGCGTGCCCAGCGATGGGAATCTCCGGCTGAGACATCCTGATTGACAAGGAGCAGCCAATTCACTTAATTAATGGACGGCATATCGCTGTGAATCAGTGCCATCCAATTAGAACATATTCATTCACACAATCTCTATTCCGATATTTCCTCAATTTGTTCTCTTTTCAGCCTTTTCTTTTACGACAAACTTCCTCCCCTTATCGGCCATGCGAAGACAGCCCTTATCTCGGTGACTGATTGGACTCGTGGGCGATACGCGAGACACACCAACAAATGCACAATCCCAACACGCAAATAGTAAATCAAAGATCACTTTTTAAGCCGTCGCCAATTCCCTCTCTTGTTCTTATTAACTTATCTCGCGGAAGCTCATGTCTCCACGGACATTTGATGTTGAGATAATGAACAAAAATAAGACTGTTTTTCCCATAAATGAGCGGATGTGAAAGGAGAGAGAAAAAACTTCGCAGGAGGAATTTTTCACTACTCATCCACAATTTCCGCTTGGAATTTCCAGAAATCATCATGGAAATGCTGCTTAAGATTGTTGAAATTCACACTTTATTGCCAATAATCAAGTGTTCAGCCCAAAGCACTCATAATATCCACAAAGACAAGGATAAGGATTAGCAATAAACCGCCTGCAGAGAGTAGATTTTCAGGACTGATTAGGAGATCAGTGGGATCTGTTGATCGTAACAGGACACTTCTGGTGTCTTTTGCAGTTCCTTCGGCAGGAAGAACAACCAAAATGGCAAGAATGCCAAGAAGCGTGAAGATGATATTCATATTTGGTTCTTATCCACAGCTTGACTTGCTAATTTTTTTACGGAATATTGTGTTTTTATAGCTAAATTTTTTTTGCCCAGATTATAAAATTTATGTCAAGAAGCGCTATTGGAATTCTTGTCCTCGTTCTGAATATTATTACGATATTTTAAGGGCGACAAGAGCGACCTTTAGATGGAAAGACCAGAGGCAAATTCCAAATATTTAATCTTCCAACCTAATCTAGGTCTTGCTGGTCTTGATCGACTTTTCAAAAAAAAAAAACAACGCCAACGTTTCAACTGATCAAATATTGCTCACTTTAGTAGAAGATCACGGATCTCTGTTGCGTTCTTCGCGATCATTTCGCCTATAAATAAATCGAACTAATGCCCAAAATCATCACTAGTGAGAGACAAGTTGAAAGGAAACAATCCCAATTTTTAAAAAATGAAGATCCTCATCACACTTTTCGTCTTTGTTGCCGCCGCGGCTGTCCTTCCGGCTGATTGTGCAGGAACGACAAAAGGAGAAGCGAGACAGTTACTTCCACCCATTATAGATCTCCCGGACCTCGATGATCTCTTGAGCACCTTCGATCCAACAAATCCTGTCAGTGTACTCCTGACCATCGTCGCTCTTGTCGTTTGCCTCGTCGGTCTTCTTTTGACATGAATTGTTGAATAAGTGGAGAACAATAAATATTTAAATCAATGCATTATATAATTTCTTGTGTTTTTCTTTGCCAAAATCAATATTTGCATCATTATAAATCTTTAGGGATACAACTGTAGGATATTGAATGGTTTTTACCATCGCAGAGAATGAGTATGAATGAATTGTCTGTTAAATTCAAGGGTAGAACATTGCCGGTAAATCAATCAAGACAAGAATATTCATAGGGTAATTTTGCTTCAATCGCTTCAATCGGCAGAAAAAACACCAACACAACGTGCTTTACGTTCGACGGCGGCGCCTCTTGCGGGAAAGTATGTCAACGTTGACAAACTTAACGAAAGTTTTTCAAGAGATTGACTGAAAGGAAATTGTGGTCTTGTGGCCGAAAAGGCTGGGACCGTACAGCATTAAAAGGGGAAAAAAAGGAAATTGTGTGGGAAATATAATCACAAAATACAATATTTAGGCACATAAGTAGTTATAGATCATGTACAGATAAGATAATGCCAGGTGAAGGCACTTTTTAAAGCAATTTATGAGTCTTGTCTGCATAACGGTTGGTTTTTGAAAATGTTGCGTCTCATGGAGAAATTCAGTGTGGTGAATTGGTGGTGAATAAAGCTTGTCAAAACGCACGGAACAATAAAATCGCTGGTGCTTTTTACTAATAAACAGAGTGTTGCAATTTCATCACTTGTGCAAAAACATCCTCTCAAGTTCATCCTTTATCAGTGTCCATGGACGCAATGGAGAATCATGGGGGAATCCCCTCGAAATTCTTGCCCGAATGTTGGAGTGATGACACAAGAATGGCTGTGTTGTTTTCACCTTTCCGGGAACGTTTTGTGAATCCTGAAAACTACGCGGGAAAGCTAAAGTTCTGGCGAGACATGATCTCTGTCTACTGCCAGTGGCGAGGCACAGCCGAAGTGACTGTGCAGGATATCACAGAAGCGTTCTGGCGCAAGGAGAGGAAGCCCTACTGCATCGCCCGAGTATTTGAGGAAATGCTGGCGTCTGGAGAGTTGACAGCCAAGGAGGACTTTTTGGAAGCACCTCAGCACACATGGGCAAGCTGGACAGCCAATGTGCTGGTGAAGAAGCCACTGAAATGGGGACTGGAGACAGTGAAGAACAGAATTTTCCCGCCCAATTTCACTGAGATTGCCTTCATTGTGAAGGAAGTTGTTGAGGTATTTTTCGTTTCTTTCTTGCTAACATTCCACGAGAAATGCCAAGAATTCATGGGTTGCTCAAGTTGGAGAAAAGTGATTTCCATTCTTATCTGTTCCTTATATATTCTATAATCTATTTCGTCGATTCCTGGAATATTCTTCGAAATAATAACAAAATATTCCATCAATTCCCAAATCGAACTTATTTTTTTCGAAATTGTCTTGGACATTAAGAGATCTCTTAGACATAAGAGAATTTAGCACAAGATTGTGAAGTGTCGCGGGTTCGATTCTCCTTCAGTTGTGATTCTCCGCAAAAGTAGTTTGGAAAGCTGTTAATATCGCAATTTCGCGTCCTTTTCCTTCGCACACTTGCCGTCATGAGTTCGAATTCCACTTATGGCAAGTTTTTTTTTCACATATTTTCCCTTTTTATACATTTTTATACCACAATTTAACCAATGGACTAATTAGGCGAGTTTAAACACCTCTTAATAAATAATTATTCATCGCAAACCTCGCAAAATGTTACCAAGTTAACAATTCATCACATATTCTGCGTATTTCATAATATTTTCACTTATATTTCCATCAATTTCTGGACATTCTTTTATTATTCCGGTTGAAACAGCGGAATTAGTTCGTCTATTCTGCACTTTGAGCAATTCTTACTGAGAATCTCTAATCTTCATTTGTCTGTTTACAGATTCAGTCGACAAAAGTGCTGAATTTGCTGGACAATCAACTCCTTCCGCAGTCAGAAGTGATAAAGCGAGCTGGAGAAGCACTGAAAATCTCTCCAGACGGCGTCTCTCTGGTCATTCATGCGCTGCTGTGTGAGAAGAAAGTCACCATTCGCCAAGTGGCGGCCGAAGAAGATGCAGAGAGTCTAGTGAAATTCGCGGCCGCTGGTGAGAAAGTGCAGAAAATTACGGGGTTGGAGTGCTCAATTTATCAGTTGGAGCGTATGGAGAAGGAACTCCTGAGGATTATCGATGAGCTTGAGGAGCAGGTGAAGCTGGAGGAGGAGAAGGCGCGAGAGAATGTGCGAAAGTCCAACAGGAGACTCGCCAAATTGTGTCTCTGGCGGAGAAATGGCGCCCTGAAGAATATTGAGCAGAAGACAAAGTCTCTCATGAATATTCAGGAAATTCTGACAAAGATTCGCGACGTGAAGTTCAACAAGAAGATCGTGCAGGCCTACAAGGTGGCTGGGAAGAGTCTTCAGGATGCGCTGGAGAAGTCTGGCATCACTGTTGCGATGGTGGAGGAAACCATCGAGGAGATGAGAGATGCCATTGAGATCAGTGAGGAAGTGGAGGCTGCCATCGGCAAGGATGCTGTAGTGCTGAACAATGCTGAGCAGGAGGAGTTGGAGAAGGAGTTGGCTGAACTCCTGGAGGATGACAAAGATGAGAAATCAGTGGCCAAAGAGGAGGACGACGATGAACTCATCAAGAAACTCGATGCACTTCATGTGCCCGACGATTCTCCATCCCCAAACGATCCGAAGCGGTCTCAAAGGAGTCACAACTGATCAACTCAGGTGAAGGACAACAGAAGTGCCTCTCGAAGAATTGAAAAATTCACTGTCATTTCATCTTTTTTGTACTTGAGAGAATAAATTTATATTTTGATGATAATCAGCAAATCATTGGTAATTTATTCGAGGGTTGCTCAAGTTGGACAAAAATGATTTCCATTCCTTCAATTACCTTATATATTCCATTCCATCCATTCCTAGAATATTCTTTAGAATAATTACAAAATATTCCCACCATTCCCAAATCGGACTTGATTTTATCGAAATCGTCTTAGACAGAAAGACTTTTGCACAAATTCCAGCGCAAATCTTCCAAATAAGAGAATTTAGCACAAGATCGTAAAGAGTTGCGGGTTCGATTCTCATTAAATTCGCTTTTTTCGCTACTTTTTTCACTTCTTTTTCCTTTTTCGAGTCTTTTCCTTCATTAAATATAATTTCCTCTTCAAGAATCATATCCAAAACAGCAATCTGACGATCAGAATTGCTTTTTTCTTAAGGTGAAAGAAAGTTTTTTCGTCTAAACATTATTTTTAACGCTTTTATGTCCATTCTTGGGCTTAAAATTTCTTCTAAAAACTTTTTTCTAGCCTTAAATGTAATTTTCCACAATATTTGTTTGGAAAGCTGCTAAAATTGCATTTTCACGTCCTTTTTCGAGTTCGATTCCAGCTCGTGGCAAGTTTTTTTCCGACACTTTCCAGTTTTGGCCTTTTTTTCGTATATTCTTCCCTAATTCTTCCACTTTGAGCAACCCTGGCGGTTATTTCAAAGTCCGCTGATAGCTTTGACAGGTTTTTCACCATTCAACTGCTGCCCACGATCGCCAATTCCAGTCGTGAGCCGGCGCTGGCGTCGCGGTCTTACGTCAGTTCCAGAAATGTCATTCAATGGTGGAGTGAAGTGCAGCAACTGTGTGAAATTTTGCTAAAAAGCAGCATTTTTCTGGTACACCCACACCCCACAACCCCTGCAATCGCACCCGCGATAGCCAATTGAGACGCCCGTGCACAAATTGGGGCGCTATGTGTGCCGCAATGGGTGGAAAAGGGCGTCTGTTTTGGCTGCACGGATTTGTGCGATGGCGAATGGCGTAAAAAGATGGAGAACTAATGAAATTTTTCCACTGTCCGTGGCTTCAGGTCCGTGTTGGTTGGTGGCAAAATGGATAAGAACTTCGATGGAGATTCCGTGCACAATGTCCAGGTATGCTGTGGTGGCTTCACTGGTCCACAGACTTCCCGGACACACGCGAGTCCGGGTGTTTTGGCCGCGAGTCACACACTTTTCACAGCTATTTTCTCAGTGTTTTCCCACCCAAGACGCTCTCTTGTTTACCTCCATCGTCCTCTGATCGGTTTGGGGTGACACCGGAGCGCCCGTGGGATGTGGTTGGGCGGCAGATAGGGCGGGAGAAATTGGGAGAAAGTATCACGGCAAGCGCGGAGGTCGTTCACATGCCAAGAAGCGCCCTTCCGGACGCTGAATTGCCGGCAATGAGTGAGGGAAAGTCGTTGCTTTCCACTGTTTACGCTTCTTGCCGGCGGAAAAGCCTCTCTCTTATCACCCAGGAATGCCATTGATAAGAGCTTGCTCGCACTGTGACGCCTAGACTCGCCTCTGGTCACCGTCCTACTTTACAATTCCTCCATCCAAAACACTGCCCGGCGTATTTATGTGCTCAACTTCGAGCAGAAAAATTCTACACAAAGCAGGAGTCCTTTGTTTGGTGACAGAAGTGGGTCAGTGACCTCGATGACCTTGAGTTTTTTTTTTGGATTCAATGGAGCAATTATAGACTTGCGGGTTAGCCTTGAATCGACGGGAATTGGGATTAATCCTCCGTGGATGAGCTTGAAGTGTTCAAATGTCGGATCAGCGATAATTCGTGGTTGAATTGGCGCTAAAAACACTCAGGAGTTATTCCTCCTTGTCGACACTAGCGACAATTTAGCTTCGTGAAAGCTGTGAGCTGTCAATTGAATTTTTTTACACAAAAGGCCAAATAAACAGGCAATTTTTGAAGAAAAATAATTATCTAAATCAAATATTGAATAAAATATTTAAAAAAAAATTATTATTTTACAAATAAATTTGCAAAATAACCAAATTTTGATAAAATATTCAGGAAAAACTCATAAAATGATTGAAATTTGTATGAAATATTTAAAAAATTTGAAGGAATCAAGCTTGTTGACATAGAGAGAGTTTTCTCATGCTTTTCCTGTGAATTCACAAGATTGTCTCATGAAATTCCAGTGAACAGTCATAAGACATTCATTGAGTGGTAGTTTTATCAATCTATCAATGCTCATAATCACATAATTAGCCAAAGAGAGATAGAGAGACAGATTATCTATCGCTGCTATGACTTCATCACTTCACCAACTTGCTAGATTAAATAGGAGAGAGGGAGAGATAAGACCGAATCGGGTTGGTATAAATGTGTGCGGCAGTGTTGATGGTGTGTTTTGTATGCTTAGGCCAGGAGTGTTAAAAATGATTTTTAGCATTACAAAATCGCATTGATTGGAAGGCAAAGAGAGTGAGGTGGAGAGAGCGAGAGATGGCGAGGTTGAGATGTGGGGTAAATGGCGAAGAAGCCACCCACGTGCCCACCAATTCCCACTTAATTCTCTCTCTCTCTCGCTGATCTCACGGCAAATTGGCTTCTGCAGTGAATTTCCTCACTCTTCGCGCGCCCGCCTCCGTTTGTCCGGGTGGCCGTGGAAGTTGATAGAAAAGATAGAGACTGAGAGAGATCAGTGGAAATGCTGTGTGTTGAGTAAATAAATAGCAGATTTTTGCTGTCTCAATCTCCGTGTCACACACTTTTATAATACACACCGCGGGCACACATAATTTGGGAAGGAAGGAGAAGAGAAGCAGATTGAAAGAGATGCGAATTGAAATTCTAATGCTGTTGCCTTTTCTCGGGCTGTTTCTTCCTTTTGCAGGCCAAGCAGAAGGCATCGGTGAAGTGGCTGCTGTCGAAGGCGTACAACAATCAAGTTCCGGCCCATCTGAAGGAGCCCTTCTATCGTGATATCTCCGGCATTGAGCAGCTGAAGCCACAGATTGTCATTGGACTGGGCAATGCGTCGCTCTACTGTCAGACACTGTCGAATCTGTACTCCGATCCAAACTATCAGAACCTCAATCATGGCACAATTCTGCAGATTCTCATCAGGAAGTGTGTCCTGCTGCCCGAGAACGCTGACACGCCGCTCACGGAGACAATCCTCATTCAGACGAATCCACTCAAGACGGTGAGTTTTCCACACCCTTCATTGCGCCAGTGACATCTTTTTGTGCGTGTTTCACTCCCATTTCTCTCGCGCGCCCGCTTTTTTTCGCTCTCTCTTTCTCATCAAAACCCGCCAACTTTAGGCTACAAACGGCGAGAGGGAAATTTTCGAAAGATTTGTGTGTTTGGCTTGGGAAAATTGAGTGCATCTTTGCTGATTGATTACTGAATTGCGTGCACTTTTCCTCCACCTTTTTGTTTGCCACATTTGTGTGTAAAATTGCATAACTAATCATATTTGGCATAACAATTCCCATATACGGTGGCTGCCGATGAAATAAAACATCACTTTGAGTGCTTTTGATGATTTTTTTTGATGGTAATTTGAATTTTTCAAATGAAAATTATCAAATTACATGCAAATTTCAGTTTAAGAGGAGTCTTAAAGCATTGACAGAAGAAGAAAAAGTATAATTAAGAAGGAAAAATGTTTTATTTCAATGGCAGCAACTGTATTTTACCTGTTCAGGCAGATTCACATAGAATATGTGGAGAAAATTGCAAGAAAAGCTTGAATTTAGCTGTATTTGGTGGTCTACGTTTGCTTTTATGTAATTTCTTAGTCAATTTTTTATTATTCAATATCGTCATATTTCTTTCAATGTGCAAATTATGTCAATTACCACATTTATTCTAATGTTGACGTGGAAAAATTTCACAGTTTAGCTCTTAAGATTGCTGAATTAATGATCACAAATGACACTTTCTTCTCAAGAGATAATGATTAGTGAGAGAGAGAGATTAATTTATGCATTGAGAGTAAATTGACCCAATGTGAGTTGATATAATTGTACTCAATTACACTCAATCTCGCATCGTGAATTCTCATTCTCATATTACTTTAATAATTTTCATCGTCGAGACGTTTGAAGAAGTGTGAAAGTTTCTTTGCCATCGCGCGGAGTTATTTAATGTTTCTCACACACAAACACAGGTTGAAAAAGTGGGAAAATGAGGAAAATTCTGAAGCCTTAAATCGAGGGTGAAACTTGAGACGAGAATTTCGTGAAGAGAATTTAACACACAAACACAATAAAGCAGTATTTTTACCATTTTTATTAATTAAATATTCTCTCATTATTACCTTGTTTCTCTCTCTCTCTCTCTTTTTCCGTCTCTGGCTTATGCAAGCGACTAAAAATAATCAAACATTACGTGCCTCTCTTGTATATTATCTTCCACCTTTTGCCATTAGTTAAATAGTTGAGCTGTTTTTGGCTCTATTTACCCATCTTTGCCAGACTTTGCTAGGATTTCATTTGGAAACTCAACTTGTTGAGAATATGCAAACAGAAACACACATTCTCGTCGGCAATTTGGGTTGTTTTTAAACTATTAATATTATTCTCAATGAACAACAGAGGAAGGCCGGAAGAGGGCGAAGAAGCTGTGAATGAATGAATGAAGAAATTTTGTGTAATTGAGAGTGTGAAAAATGGGTGTTTAGAGATGGTGGAAATGCGATAAGAGCCAGAGAAAGAGAGAGAATTAAGATTGATTTAACTGGTTTGTCTGACTTGTAAATGCAATGTGTGAGTGTTGAAGTTGAAGGGCGACAGAGAAGAAAGTAAAGTTGAAATGAAGAAGAAATTGACTCTAGGATGAGGAAATATTTGGTGTCAGTTTTGTTTACTGTTTTCGGTGTGCAGAGTTGAAAAGAGGTTAAGAGGAGAATTTTGTAGATAAAAGATGCAATGATATGATAAATACCGCACGGATTCTTCACGTTTGACAACTGTCAATTTGTATTAAATAAACTCCCAAATTTGCCAGCCAACGCCTTATTGTTCGTATTTCATTCGTGCTTTACACTAGCGCCGCCAGGCGGTCGTCAATATAAGCTATGAAAAGCGAAAAATTGCAACATAAAATTCTTAGCTTTTACGAATTGAAAAATATGAAATCTTGTAATGTTGCAATGAGCGAATAAGCATTGGATTTTGTGATAATAATTAATGATGAATAATAATTCTTATCTTTATTCTATATGCAATCTTACTTGAATTCTCTCTGTATTTCTCTTTGGCGCATTCTTTGGCCGGGCAGAAAGCGCACATGGTGTTGATTGAGTCGCTGATGGCGCTGTACATCAAGGAGGTGGGGACGTTTGAGAGGATCTCCAGCGCTGTGGGGCGCATCGCGGGGCGCGCGCTGGCGCTCGAGGGTCAGCCAGGACATCAGGATCCGCTGCTGGCGTGGGTGGCGCACGTGTGCGTGGCGCTGAAGCAGCGCATCGACGCCGAGAGTGGTGGTCAGAGGGTGCAAGAGCTGGAGCAGTGGTTCGACAAGGTGTTGAGCCTCACGGACTACAACGATCTGTCGGATGGCGTGTGTCTGGCCTTCCTCATCTCCTACTACAGCCCAAAGCTGGTGCCGTGGCACGCGGTGCGCGTGAATTACATCCCAACCGTGGAGGATTGCATCTACAACATGCACATCGTGAGCAGCTTCTGTCAGCAGCATCTGCCATACTCCGTCTACCACATGATTCCCGAGGACATTGCCTACATCAAGGGCACCATGAAGCAGAATCTGCAGGTGTTCGTGGCGGATTTGTTCAATCTCTTTGAGATTCACCTCGTCAATTGCATCACGCATCCTGACTTTGGTGAGTTTCGCCCCACATTCTTTTTTATTGATTTCTCTGTAGTTTTGTTGCTCAGCATCTTTCTGTCCAGACGCTTGCGATGGACGCTGTCTTTCTGTTACACTGTCTCTCTCTCTTAAGTGTTGTGTAGAGTTTACCGTACTATATATATATTTGAAGACATTAATGTTGTTTATCAGGCTGAGGGTCTTTTCTAATTTTATGCTAATCCAATTCCACCCATTCTAAAGTGCGTCGTGTGACGCGATTTTTGGCTTTGCTTTCTTATAAGATACTAAATTTGACACTGTTTAGAGTTGATAATAATTTCACAGTTTGTCTAATGAACATTCTAATCACTTAACGATATATAAAATTGGTTTTTGCAGCGAGGAGAAGAAGTGTGGTCGAAATGGAGTTGATAAATTGTCCCAATTGTGGAATATCTTTGATTTACTCTCTTGAAAATATCTGAATTTTAAATATCTTCTTCTGCACTTGATGCATTTTAGAATGGATGGTGCGGATTTTTCTTTCTTTCTATTCCTGGTAAATGTTGATTTATGTAATTTGTACAGGAAAGAAAAACACCGTTTTGTACATTGAGTGTCCGTTGCAACTTTACTGTCAAAAATATGAATTTATAAAAATGACGTTGCAAGATTACGATTCATAACATTTACTAATGCATGAAGAATTTATCTTCTGCGATATGAGAAATGTTTCAATAGCCGGAAAATTGAGAAAAATTGACAATAATGAGGTTTTTATGTAGATAAACAATATATTTATCGGGTTTTTCTAGCTATTTGTGCGCTTTTCAATGCACCAATTTGAGGTTATGTGTTTCCGGACATTCTTTGAACTTTTCCGAGGAAACTGATTGGATTTCCAAAGCCATTCTATTGCGATTCTGTTGTGAAATGTCACAACAAAGACATTTTCCTGGACATTTTAGTCACTGAGATTCACTTTTTCTCCCTGATAAACTCATTTTTCGCGTTTGACAACTGTCAATTTGTATTAAATAAACTCCCAAATTTGCCAGCCAACGCCTTATTGTTCGTATTCCATTCGTGGTTCGCACTAGCGTCACCAAGTGGTCGCTAATAGAAGCTATGTAAAGCTTAAAGTTGGAACATTGAATTCATAGCTTTTACGAATTGAAATATGAAATCTGTAATGTTGCAACGACTCAAAAGTTTGAGAGAAAGAGTGAAAAAAGAGAACACAGAAAGTGAGGAAGATGATTTTGAGGGTGGAAAATTGTTGTGAGTTCATTTCTTTGCACAATTCCGTGGCTCTTTTTCTCTTTCTCACAAGCAATTTATGTATGTATAAGACAGAAATGCAATGGTTAAAAAAGAGAAGAGATGAGGAAGAAAAAGATTTCTTATCACAATTTCCAAAGAAATTAAATGTGATTATTATTACAGTTTCTTCTCAAACACCTTCAGCAATTAATTGGTTTTCTTTTCTTAATGGTTCCTTGTTTTTATTTATTTATTTTTTCTTTAATTGAATTACGTTTTACACTATCAAACACACACACTTTGTTTGAAAAGTTTCTGTACGAAAAAGAGAGATTTTTCAATGTAATATTTTTCTTTTGTGAGTTGATGATTTAGAGAGAATGTAAAAAACAAAAAAACAACTTTTTGTGTATAAATCCGGTTTCACAGAAAAGGACAAGTTGGCTTCAATTAATGAACATGGGGTGACACTTCGACGAGGACTAACCAACCACCCAACAGTAATCACGATTCCTGAGTTGAGAAGCAACTTAGATTCTGCTTTTATCACAACGACCACAAAACCGCATTCTTCTTCAGGTTCTTTGCTTAATTATATTTCCACCAAATATTGCTCAAGGGTTGCTCAAGTGGGTAAAAAGTGATTTCCATTCTTCAAATTTCCAATATATTCCACAGTTTCCTATTATATTCCACAATCCATTCCTTTCCATTCCATCCATTCTTCGAAATATTCTTCAAGATATGTTAAAATTCCAGCGCAAATCTTCATTATAAGAGAATTTAGCACAAAATAATGAAATGTCGCGGATTCGATTCTCCTTCAATTCGCTTTTTTCACAACTCTTTTTCACTTTTCTTGCCTTTTTCAACTATTTTCCTTCATTTTATAGCTTTTTATCAGCAATTTTTCCTCAATTTCTTCAAGAATTATTTCCAATAACGCAATTTGATGCTCGGAATTGCTTTTCTTTCACTAACTTTCTACTCCTAAATTCTTTTTACCGCTTTAATGTTATTCTCCAACTGGAAAACAGAATATTTACAACATATTCCGCGTTATTCTTTGAGTTTTTGATGTTTAATTCTATCAAGAATTTTATCCATTCCTGTCATTCCCGTCGATTCTTCCATTCCTTGATATTCCAGCTGAAGTGTGGTTCGTCCATTCTTCAACTTGAGCAACCCTCGCAAATATTGTGTTTTTTTTTCTTCATTATACAACAATTTCATTTGCTCTTCTGCTAGAGAAGAGAGAAATGAAGGGTTTTTGTGTTGTCTCTGAAGTGGACTTTATCTTCTCTTTTCTTCCTCATTTTATTTAAATTTCGCTCTAGTTTTTGGCATTTGTTTCTTTTTTTTGTGCGAATATTTTGATTTTGTCTGGATCTTCGATGCTTTGCGAAGAGAGTTTCCCATTGATCTATACATGATAGATAAGTGGCAAAAGGCACATTTTTCTTCTATAACATGAAACAGATTACAAGATGTCTGAGACACGAGGAGAGCAGAGAAGATGAAGAACGAGAGAGAGAAAGGGTAGATTGAGAGTGAAGAGAAAAGTAGTGTTTAGAGAAGAAGATAGCATTGATGGTGGAAGGAAAAGTGCTTCAATTTGCCCATGTTTCGTGGTCACATCTATTTTTTTTCCTTCTTTCTTTCTCTATCTCACACTATTCAGAGTTAATATCACACTTTTTTTCTCATGCTTCTTGTGTGTTTTCTTCAGTGCGCCATTAATTAATTAATGAGGCTTTTTATTCACCACTTTTTTGTTGTTGTTTTAGCTTTGCTTATAATTTTTGGAGTAAGTTTTTTTCTCTCATTTCTCTCATTTGGAGAACATGTGAAATTCTTTTGCATTTTCCCTCTTTTTTTTCTCTCTCTGTGACGTGTTGTGATGAATGTTGTGTGTGTGTGCATTCTTTGGGATGCTTGGAAGATTTTCATGCTAATGAAATCTGTTGTTCTTTGCAGGCTCTCGAATAGCATTGTCTCCGCCACTTGCGAGACAATCGTCGAAGACTGAAACTGATTCTCTAGATAGTGGTAAGAATTACGCTTCGTTGCAACTTTTACTTTCAGTAGCATTTTAAATAAACTGTCAAAAATATTATTTCCTAAAAAAGATGTTGCAAGATTACAATTCATAACATTTATTAATGTGGAAAATTTATCAATTCTTATTTTTCATTGCGTGAAGACAAGAAAAACCGGAAAATTCACATGAAAACCAAGGAAATAGATAAAATTGATGTTTTTTTATTGTTAAATTATTACATATTTATTGGATTTTTCTCACCATTTGTCCACAAATTAATGCACCAGATTGAGGTTATGTGTTTCCGGACATCCTTCGATCCTTTCAATATAAGTCAATATAAGTTATGAACAGCGTAAAGTTTGCAACATCAAATTCATAGCTTTTACGAATTGAGAAATATGAAATCTTGTAATATTGCAACGACTAGTCAGAATTTGACTTTTTCTCTCTGTCTTCTTTGCCAGCCTATGTTGTTCATCGGAGTCGTCCTGTGCCGACACTCACGTCCATTCACCACGAAGCATCGCCACCGCCGCCGCCCAGCTCAGCGGAGCGCGGCGGCTCGGCACAGCAGCTGCAACACTATGGCGAAGACAGACACAGCAGCAGCAGCTTCCATGACACTCCGGCTGGACGGCCCAGCAATTGGGATGAGCATCGGAAGCAATCGTTTGCCGGGCGTCGTTCGCGCAAGAATTCCCTGTCGGATGAGTCGCAGCTGACGATTGAGAACTTTGGTGGGTCTCAGGAGCATCTGAATCACTTCTTCAGGCCGGAGCGTGAGCAACAGAGAGCGTCTCCGGGTGCTTCCATTGGTGAGCCTGCTGTGCCGGTGCGATGTTCAATTCAGGATGCCAGAGGGACATTCCAGATTGGTTACGATGTGGAGGCGACGACGGCGTCGCCGCGTGAGGAAATGCGGCGGAGTAATAGTGTGAAGATGCCAACGCCTCCGGTGCCAGAGAGGATTGTGTACAAGGATATTCAGTTCTCGCCAGAGAATCGATTTGCTGTGCAGAAGAACAAGATCAACAGCTTCTTCATCAACAATGCAGCGGAGAACAATGGCGGCACGACGACAACATGGCAGCAGCAGAAGCAGTGGCATCAGATGGAGGAGGCAGGAGACAGTGGGCAGACGCAGGAGAATGAGATTGACGACAGGAAGCTGCTGTCCATCAGGTCACTGATGGAGGAGAAGCGGCGACACATTGAGATGGAGAAGAGGCGAATGGAGATGTCGGCGTCGCAGCAGCACAAGAAGATGGGCGATGTGGCGTACATGCAGACGCAGCAGCAGCAGTACAGGAAGGAGAATAGCGCTCCAGTGCGGCCAACGTGTTCACCACCGCCGCCACCACTCCCCGTCGCCGCGCCGCCGCCCGCCAGTGTTCCGTGCGACGACATGGCGCCGCAGAACATCTCGTTTCTGGGCGATGAGGAGGAGATTGAGGTGAATCATCATCACCATCGCGTGAGAGAACCATTCAGCATTGTGCAGACGCGGGAGAAGCCCGAGGAATTCTACCTGACCAAGGTGAATGTGTCCAATGGCAATCAGACGTACAGATTGCCAACGCCCGGACGCACGAGTATCACGTCGCAGACGTTTGCGGATCAACGACAGGAGAAGAGTGGCCATGAGACGGGATTCTTCATTGGATTCGACACGAATCAGCCGATCAAGCCCAAACCAATGCTGCGCACGAGTCATCCGGAGTTGAGGCGAGTGGAGCGGCCGAGTCCCAGGCAAACGCCGCCGGTGCAGACGCCGCCGCCGCCGAAGCCGATGGAGAGGCGAGACATTGAGCGGAAGAGCATGACGATGATCAATGATCGACTGGCGGAGGAGGTGAAGAGTGAGAGTCCTCATGTGGCGCGCAAGGGTGAATCTCTGCTGCTGGCGCTGGATGACTCGCCGCGCTCGGACACGAGTGTGTTGGATGAGATGGAGCGCAAGAAGGAGAAGATTATGCTGTTGTCGCTGAAGAGGCGCGAACAGCAGGAGGAGGTGAAGGCCAGGAAGGAGTTGGAAGCGATGCGACGACGTGAGCGTGAGGCGGAGAAAGAAGCAGAAAAGGTGCGCAAGAAGGAGGAAATGGCATCGCGACGACAGCACATCTTCGAGGCGTACAAGCTGAAGAAGAGTCTGGAGGAGGCGGAGCGCGAGGGCAAGAGTCTGGACAAGGCGGAATTGTTTCTGGCTGGCAAGCAGAAGTCCGTGGCCAAGAGGAGCACTCAAGTGGCGAGACCACGTCCCAAAACCATTCACATTGAGTCGGGCAGTATTGAGATGAACAACATTCACGTGCGTCCACGCAAGGAGCACAGCATGGACATTGATTCCGGCACCGGCAGCAGTTCCAGCATGAAGAGGGACTTCTCCAGGGATCAGGATTCAGGTAAAATGATCGAAATATGACGAAAATCGAGGGGGGGTCACATTTTTTCCGCGTCTGTTTGTCGTTCCGTCGTGACAAATGAGCTTGTGAGGCATAAACGCTAAGAGATATCGACATATCGTTAAAAGTATGCAATGGTAATGAAGATTTTGATGTCAAATCCGCCATTTTGAACATTCCAAAAACACATTTTACTCAATTATTCAGCTTCTATGGTATGATTAAGGTCCAAATTTTAGTATGTTATAGCTGGCATCAAGACCTTTCCAACGAGCCACCACTTAAGGATCTAGGTCCTTCCGGACCCTAGAAAAAAGAGATTAAAGTTTGAAACTTTAAATCGCCATTAATCAGCTTCCAATTAACCGATCGGAATAATTTTGAGTTCATTGGAAAGGTCTCTTAAAATGCAATTTTCACTCGAACATCATAAATCTATAGGATCACAGTTAGGGGTGCTAAAATCGTAAAACCTATTATCAAAACTTTAAATTTGTATAACTCAAAAACGAGTCGATGAATTTTCTCTAAATTCCAGTATGTTGTAGTCTCTGTTGAGACGTTTCTAAAATTAGATTTATAGTTTTCTGTGGATGCAATAGAACCGGAGTTATGACTGTTTAAAGTTTTGAATTTTAAAACGCTCTAACTTTGCTTCTATTCATCCGATTATAATAATTTAGAGCTCGTTGGAAATATCTTGCAGAACTCTACGACTATTTAAAACAACAGAAGTTAATCAGACCACCGCGAAGTGTGTCCACATTTTTTAATGCCGCGTCTTGCGCGCGTCTGTCTTTCTGTTCAGCAGGCAAAAGCAGCGTTGGGAAGCAGAGTCCCGTGTCCAGGACGTCATCGTCTGTCTCCTCGGGTGTGGCGAGTTTTCGCGGAAGGAAGTCAAACTCACTGATGAATTTATCAGGTTCGTGCGTGACTGTTGAAGTGCATGAAGAGAGTTTTGCGCGTGAAAGTAGATTAATAGCGCGGTTGGCATTTTTTTCGTAGATTCCAGTGGCACTTTGTATCGGCCAGTGGCGCCGCGACGGGCTCAGTCGCCGATGGGACGTCACATCACATCACCATCTGGCCCGGGATCCCTGCCGCCGGGCCTCGTGACGAAACGTCGCGGTTTCGACGATGGAGCCAGTGATATTTCGTCAACGCCGAGCTCCATCCTCGAATACTCAGGTGCTTGAGTGCCGCCAGTAGATCTATTGTTGTTCTTGTTCTTGTCTTGTTGTTGGTGTTGGTTTTGAGCAGTTTGCTAGTCACATGAATCTCTCTGAGCTTAGGATACTAACTCTCAATCTGTGCTTCTTCTCTTCTCTTCCTTCACAGGTCCAAAGTTGTATAAACAACCAACAGCCAAATCAAATCGTGGCATAATTCTCAATGCCGTGGAGTATTGTGTGTTCCCAGGGATTGTCAATCGTGATGCCAAGCAGAAGTTGCTGGAGAAGATTGCACGATCTGAGGCGAAGCACTTTCTCATCCTCTTCAGAGATGCCGGCTGCCAATTCCGGGCGCTCTACAGCTTCTATCCGGAAAGTGATAGCATAATCAAATTGTGTGGAACGGGACCTAGTCAAGTGGACGATGTCATGTTTGATAAGTTTTACAAGTGAGTCCGCCATTTTGAATATCCTCAAAAACCACATTTTTCCTTAGATTTGACTCAAATTGCGCTATTGTGGCTCACAATGAGAGTCACTGTGGTTGAAGATCAATGGAAGAAGTGTTATTGAGTGAGATTAGCGCTTATCTTAAGGTTATTCAAATGCTCCGCCCACTTTGAAGCTCCGCCTCTTAAACTTGATATTATTTGGCTGGGATTTACAAAGCAAAATCAACTTAAATAGATTCAGAGACTCTTAATCTCGGTAAATCTGTTATGCATTCCAAAAAGATTTTAATATGTTGTAGTTCAAGTTAGGACATTTCTAAGAACAGTCTATAACTCTCCATGGTTGATAATAGAACCAGAGTTATGGCTGTTTAAAGTTTTGGATTTTTTTTATAATGTCCCTAAAACTTTAGTTCTTTCTCTACCGATCTTAATAATTTGGTCTCAAATGGAGTTTTCTCACAGTCAATGTTTGTTTCTTCTTTCTTTCTTTCCAGATACAATTCGGGGAGTAAATGTTTCTCGCAGATTCACACGAAGCATTTAACAGTAACAATAGACGCTTTCACGATTCACAATGCGCTGTGGCAGGGCAAGAAGATCAATCTGCAGAACAAGAAGGACATGGTTCTTGTTGTCTGAATTGTTGTGCGCCTTCGGCCGAAGGATCAGAACTGAGTTAAGAGTTTTAAGAGCGTGTGAAAAAAATGGTGAATTCATCATTTTTTTTTAATATTTCATGCCTACTCGTTGAGAAGAAGAAGAAAAGAAACCCTTTTGAACTGTTGAATGTGCGTGGAAGAGCGATTTTATGGACAAGAAGACACTTTTTTCTTACTTTGAGAAGGAAAAAAGGAGAAATAATTGAAGAAGAAGGAAAAAATGGGATCATAATTATTTGCAATATAAACTGAGAAAGGAAATTGATAAAGAGGAGAAAACACAGAAACTGAAGAAATTCTCGAGATGTTAAAAAGAAAAAAAGAATTGAGAAAATCTTTTCTATTATATTTAGAAATTAATTCCAATTATGTATTGTTGTAATTTTTTCAAATTAATCTCTCTAATAATTTATATGACATAATTTTACTATTTTCTCCCATTTTTCTTTATTTCTTTATAAATAAATAAAAATGTTAATAAAAGAAGAAGGAAGAAAAACTACTCTTTCGCTCCTACACTTATTTTTTACTTACGAAGTAAAATGTGTAATGTAATTAATTTACTCTTCTCGACAATGAATATATTAATTTTTAGGAATTCATCGCCTTTTTTATTCATGAAAAATAAAAAGAAAAAAACCCTATATTTTATGGAGAGAAAACGTGGAGAATGGAAACTTGCTAACATTGAATTAATTTTAAGTAAAGGAAAAAGAAAAAGTTATATTGAATAAATAATTAAATTAAATTAAAAAAAAAATTGAGAAGATAGAAAAAAAACATATGGAAAAAATGATATAAAGCCAAAATTTTGTTCCAACTGCCTTTTTTTCTATGAGAAAATGAACAAAAAAGTAACATTTAGTGTTGTGAAAAAAACAGAGAAAAAATATTGATGGCAAAAAAATGCTGAAAAATCAAAAAAAGACACAAATTAAAGAGAATAATCATTCGCGGAGTCGCTTTTGTTCGTGATATTTTTTTTACTCCTTTTTGGCTCCTCCTTTCGTGGTGTTTTGCCAATCGTTCTTTTTTTATAAAGGTTCTTTTTGATACAAATTGTATTTTTTTTGCGTAATAATTCAAAATTATACTTCCCTTTCAATGTGCTTTTGTCTCGGACAAAATAAAAAATAATTAGAATGAACCAATGTTGAAATTGCAAAATTAACTCACAAAAAACATTGACGTGTGAAATGTAATGAGAAAAAATCGTGTTCTATTTGATTATTTTCGCGCATTATAAAGAGAAAAACACTAAAGAAAAAGAAAAAAATGTTTAATTGTAAATAAGAAATTCAGCGCGTCTCAACGCGCGAATCGTCAGTTGATTGCAAGTATGAAAAAAAATACTGACAATTGAGAAAATCCACTTCAAAATAATCCACTAAAATTTACTGTGAATAATAAATTAATAAAAGAGAATAAATTACTATTTTACATTCTTTTTTCTCTCCCTTTATTTCCCACCATTTCTCTTGTTTTTGCACACTTTTTCTCTCTGGCTATTCGGGCACTTTCCACGACAACTGCTTGCCCATCTCGTACAGCAACTTGATGGCGGACGCCAGTTTCTCCTCCTTCTTTAGCTTCTCGTACTCCTTGTACAGCTGAAGCGCCGCGCGCGCGTCCTCGATGGAGTCATGCGTCTCGGACTGGATCTTGCTGCCCAGGAAGTGCCAGGCGAGGAAGCGCAGCGACACCATGCGCTGGTGCGGCAGGTGGAAGAGGTGCACAGTGTCGATGACCTGCTCCGGCGGGACGATCATGTTGATTACCCTTGGAAGGACACGCAAAGACGACAATTAATCATCTCTAAGACGTCATTGCAACTTTACACATGATTCATATTAGTTACTAATGACGTCAAATTCATAGTTTTCATCGCGTGAAGACAAGAAAAGCCGGAAAATTCATACGAAAACCAGGGAAATAGACAATAATGATGATTTTTATGTGAATAATCACATATTTTCAATGCATCAGATTGAGTTTATGTGTTTCCGGACATCCATCAATCTTTTTCCAGGAAATTAATTGCATTTTGACAGCATTTAAAAGCACTTTTGGTGTCTGTTTAATCTTTTTGAGTACGAAAATGCGACTGTGCTGAAATGTCACAACAAAGACATCTTTCCGGACATTTCCGGACCAGCAGAATCCTTCGAGAATTTCATCGGAAACACGCCCAATGTTAAGAACAGTTGCGAATAAAGGTATTTTGGCAATGCGATTCATTATTTCGTTCATTTCGCCACATTGAATTCATTCTTCACGTTGAAAACATCCCTTGACAATCGCCGAAAACGCCCGGAAGTTCCTTGAGATAGGTTTAAACCCTCAAAAGGGAGGAAAATGACCAGAAATTGGGCGAAAGTTGGAATATTGTTTAAGTTTGTATTAAATAAAGTCCAAATTTCAAACAAAACTTGAAAAATTGCAACATCGAATTGGTAACTTTTATGAACTGAAATATGAAATGACTGTAATGTTGCAACGACCCATAAATTGGGCAATACGGTAAATGTGAAAGGAGATGGAGAGACTCACCTGAAATCATTCCTCAAGCCGTGACCCACGAAGATCACGCCGCTGTCGGTCAAGAAGCGCAACTTCTGATACGAACTCTTGAGCGTCGTGAGATTCTTATTGCTGAAATTGGCGTCCAGATCGCCCGGTTTGATGCCGGAGAATTTCGTGAGATAATCCACCACTTGTTCCTGCGTCGAGATGTAGTCATCGATGAACGGCACACCCTCGAGTTCACCTTGACCGCGAATGCACGTGATTCGCGCCACACTCATGTGACTCGGCTTAATTGTCGCCATCTTCCCGTCCGGACGCATTTCATTCTCCTCCGGATTTAGCGTCACAAACTCCGCGTCCATCGCCACCAGATCGCCACGCGAAGGCATCTCAGCGTGCGTGAGTGGCCGAAAGTCGCATGGTTCCAGCATGAGTTGACGCGCATAGAGATCTGTGCTGAAGGGATTGAGTTCTGGGGTGATGCGCTGGATGGCAGCACTCTCGTCCACCTGTTGTGCCTCGTGCGTGCTGTAGAATAGCACGCACGGCACTTTCCAGTCCAGCGTGAACCACACCGCCTCCTGCACCGGCACTGGCGTGATGCTGAAGTCATTGAACACAAACCAGCCGCCATCATTCTCCTCCCCCCCACTCGATGGCGGCACTTTGACAATCGACACGAGATTCTTGCACGTGCCATCGTCAATCTGGCACACCACCGCCGTCAAATCGTACATCATCCGCTGCCCATCCACCTCAGGAGATGACTTCCTCACCCCCACATCCTCCTCAATGGTCAGACTCTTCTCCCCGTCAATCTGCAGTGTGAAGTGGAGCGGAAACCACGTGTTGCTCCTGCTGGACGGCGTCGGCGTGGCTTGCGATGTGGGTGACTTTCTGTCCGGATGGGAGAAATGGCAGTCAATGCGTGAGCAATTCACGCCATATCTGCACGGCTTCATGCTGGTCACCGTGACATTCTCCGCACTCACGCCCGACGACGCCACCTTAGGATAGAATAGAGAATGATGTGACTTCAGCGCCCCTAGCGGTGGTCTTATCGAAATATGATATTTGAGTTGAAAATGGCATTTTAAGAGACCTTTCCAATGAACTCAAAATTATTCCGATCGGTTAATTAGAAGCTGAGTTATGGCGATTTAAAGTTTCAAACTTTAATCTCTTTTTTCTAGGGTCGGGAAGGACCTCGATCCTTAAGTGGTGGCTCGTTGGAAAGGTCTTGATGCCAGCTATAACATACTAAAATTTGGACCTTAATCATACCATAGAAGCTGAATAATTGAGTAAAATGTGTTTTTGGAATGTTCAAAATGGCGGATTTGGCATCAAAATCTTCATTACCATTGCATACTTTTAACGATATGTCGATATCTCTTACCATTTGAGGCCACACAAGCTCATTTGTCACGACGGAACGGCAAACAGACGCGGAAAAAATGTGACCCCCCCCTCAATTTCGTCACTTTAAGATTATTTTAAATGGTTATGGTAAATAATAATGCCACCTTTGTCGTTATGCGCTTCAGCAACTGCAGATCCTTGTCATTGTCCAGGCCACAGTTGATGGCCAGAATCTTGGGCAGCTTCACAACTCGCACATACTGATTGGTCGGCGTGAACTTCTTGCATCGCTCACACCACACGGGAATGGTCTTCTCGCCACTCAATGAGTTCCTCAGCAGCCGGGCGAATGTGACATTACTGTCCTCATGCCCAGGATTGGCGTAGAGCAGACTACACACCAGCAGAATGTTCACCTTCGATCGCTCATCGCTGCACTTGAGACAGCGTGAAGTGCACGTCTGCCTGGTGCCGAAGAGACTGCTGATCTCCGTCTCCTCATCCTCCCTGGGCCGCTGTGGTGTGGCGCCGGCAGACACTTCCTCCTCCTTCGCCTCAATCAACTGAAACTTCTCCTCGCACACCGTCGTCGAGCTCTCCTGCAGCTTGGGGAAGTTCTCCTCGTACGAGGACATCTTCTTCGGCGACGATGTCACGGAACACTCACCAAAGGTGTGCGACAGGGACTTCTTGGCCGTCTCCAGGAGTTCGTAGTGGATCTGGTGAAGGATGAAGCGATTCCAACTCTGAATCAAACCCACAAGATTCGCCTTGCCACTCGTTCTGTCCGACAGGATCAGACCGAGTGCCGAGGCCTCGGGCACCGTGCGGAAGGACCTCAGGAAGTTGCTGGCCTGACACGGCGCCCCATTGGACGTCGCCAGCATGTGAAAGAGGAAGCCCAACTCGCACGCCAGGCAGAACTCCTTGGCGCACGAGTGTGCCATCAGGGCGCCACGGAGGGGCCTGACGAAGTGCAGCACTTGCAGCATGGCGTTGCAGTAGGCGTTGGGCAGATTGGCCTCCAGGCCGGCGAACTCCGTCTGGTTGTACTGGTCAAAGTCGAAATCCTGAGTGCCCAACTTTGAGTACTTCACCTCGACCTTGCGATACCTGCCAACGCAAAGATTCTTGATAGTCTCACTTCTATTCACTCTCAAGAGCATGCGAGCTGATTATTCCTTGTACCATTCCAAATTATTCCATTTATTCTACGAATATTCTAGAATGGACTGAAATATAAGTCAAAATTCCATGGAATGGATTGCTAAATTGGAATAGAACCCATTTTGCGTGGTCTGTGATCAATTAAGCTTCTGCTAAAAGGCTAAAATGTCTTTTTACACGCTTTAAAAGAAGTTTTTTCTGTCATTTTTCACTCGAAAGCGTGAGAAAATCAGGAAAAATCGTGTTATTCTTTATTATTCTCAACTTATTCAACTTATTATGGACCGATTGTGTTCATATTCCGAGCTTGCGTAAGAATATGGACACATTTGGCTAGGAATAAATTAAGAATAATTGAATAAATTTGGAATAATTTCTGAATAATCAGGAATAAAAACACATGAATTCAATTACACTGATCCAGGATAATGGAATATGCCAGAATGAGGTTGGAATAATACAATAAAATGAGAATAAGTGTAGGAATAGCTCGAATTATTCTGGAATATATTAGAATAGACGAGGAATAATTGAATAACATGCGAATAAATGCAGGAATAGATGGAATTATCTCGGAATAATCAGCTTGCATGACCCCTGGAAGAAATCTCTCTCACCTCTTGGGGATGATCTTGAGTCCGGTGTCCGGTTTGCTGGTCACGGTCGTCGCCACTTGGTTGCTGGTGGCGCTAGCCTCCATGTAGTAGGGAATCTGATTGCGTCGCGTGTGGCGCGGATTCAGGGCGTAGCCGATGGGACCCTGCATCTTCATGCTGGCCAGGATCTCGGGATCGATGGGCTTCGGGCGCCTGTAGCGATACTCCATGAGCTGCGGCGGCCAGTCGCTCAGCCAGGAATCGCCGGTGGTCAGCTCGGGCAGTGGGATTGAGGACAGTGGGAAGTTCTCGTCTGTGATGGGGACAATTGGCAGTGGCTCAATGGGATCGGCGAACTCCGTGGCGCGTGAGAAGGCGTTGAATTGTGGTTCTGACACATTCACTGAGCTGATGAGATTGATGTGACCACTCTGATCGCCGAAAGCCAGTGCTTGGCAGGAGGAACTGATGTCGAAGCTGAGACACTGACTGCCACTGGTGTTCACCTGATACATGCACACGCGTGGCTCACTCAGCTCCACCGTGTCAACCAGCTGCATCTGCCCCAGGGCAGACACCACGGCCAGGCGGGAGCATTGGGAGGGCAGGAAGCGCAGCAGCTGAGGCTCAATCAGCACTTGAATGGGCGACACGAGGCGCAACATCCGCAGATCGTACACCATGAGGAAGCGATCCACAGTGAGAGTGCCCTGCTGACGCTCACTGAAGCCACACGAGATCAGATAATTGCCCTCCACGTCGAAATCCGACAAGCTGCCGGAATGTGGCTTGATTGTGTGCTCAACGGCCAGTGTTGAGGGATCTCGCAGTGTTATCTGACCAAAGGCATTGCCAGCACACAGATAGCGATTGTGGAGTCTCAATACGACACATCCATTGTCTCCGGCGTCCGCCAAGAGTGTCTCACTGCGTGTCTCCGGATTGTAGTCAATCAGCTTCTCCTGATTCCCACCCAAAATCAATCTGTTGCTGTTCATCTGCACCATGCACAGCATGTCCACGGTGCTCTTGGAGGTGTGTGTGTACTTGGGAATGCCACGACGGATCTGGTGTCTCAAGCAGGTGCTAGTCAACACCAGAATGCCCTCCTCGATGGGCTGAATCTGTCGCACAATGTCCGTGGCGTGCACCTGGAATGATGTGTACTTCTGCATGCTGCCCGCGTAGTAGGACGTCACGTGTCCACCCTGATTCCCCATCCATAGGAGCTCCTCGTGCGTGTCGAAGCACACTGTGGAGACGCCAAAGCGATCTCCTCCGTCGGCCAGCACAAAGCCCACCGGCATGTACTCCTGATCGCTCTGATCCACGGCGTAGGGCTGGAAGCTCGTGGTGTATTCTGGGCCGCGATTGGAATTGTCAAACACTGGAAAGAGAGGCGCCGAAGAGAGAGGGATTAATGGGGTTCCGGTGACATGCCTTGAGAGCGTGTGTCGCGTGTGTCCTCGAGTGACATTCTCTCAATTCAGCGCTCATTTTCTCACTCTGCATGGCGATAATATCATCAGGCTGCTCTCCGCCATCTCCTGGCACAAACACATAATCCATAATTGGAGCTCAGACAGTATATTTCACAGGCAAATCCAAAAGGAAAAACGCGTTGTTTTGGTTTCACTGCAGCGCCCTATTGAGAACGGATTCGACAAATAATCAACAGTCATTTGTTCATTTGTTTGTCCTAACGGACGACGGTCTGGCGTTTGTCGATTGACGTTTTTTGACAGCATACGACGACTCGCCATTGGGCGAACTCTCTTCTCGCAACAGCGCCACTAGTGTGCTGAACACGGAAATTTTGTGTGGTTATGTTGTATGTTCGCACACGCTTCGCGCGTTTGAGAGTTTTCCTATTGCAAAAATTCTTCTGAATTTTCATCGCATTTCCCTAGACAAAGTGAAAAATAAGTGGTGAAATTGAGTGTAATGTGATATAATCGCATGTGTTATTGACAATTGTTGCCATAAGGCGGTGAAGAAGAAGGTGGAAACGCTGAAGATAATAGGAACTTGATACTCTTGAAAGTGATTTTCTTTCGCATTATTTATCCAAGGAAAAGAGACAAACAAACACTTTTTGAGGTAAGATTACATTTCTTTAGGGGTTTTTGTAAATCACAAACACATCAGAAAACGCACAGAGATTTGCGAGAATGATTAAAAATTGCAGAGAATTGTCAATTTTTAGAATTTGCAACAAGTATTTTTTGATTTTATGAATTCTTCATGAAAATTCAGCAATTTGATCGATTTTTTTTCAGTCGGATGGATAACGAAATATCCAAGAATGATGTTATTTTTCTCAGATCATTGAGAAATATTCTCAGACTTGTTTTCCAACCCAGAAGCAATTTTTTTTTGCACAAAAAAGGAAGAGAAAAAGATCGAGAAAAACGAATGAACATAATTTATATTCAGAGGAAATCTTCGGATTTCTTCCGATATGAAATTGGCAAAACTATAAAAGTATCAAAATTGGTGAACAATAAAAGTTTTACGGACAATCGGACATCGTCTGGGGCGGAAATTGGATTGAAAAAACTCCTTGTTCGAGTGCATACGAATTCCCTCGCAGACGTGCTCCTTCGGAAAATCCTTCAATCATTCAATATAATCCGCCCAAACTTTCCACCAAGAGCGCAATATCTTCATGAAATCATTGGGAGAGTTTCTTCAAGTTGCATCGCGTCTCTTGGCATAATTCAGAGCTCCAGAGAGAGAGAGAGAGTGAATGAGAGAAAGGATGTGATTTTTTTCTCTGCTGTTGCAAAGTGTAAAATAATTTCTCTGGCAATTACAGCTGGGCGAAGCCCGCTGTACTTGTGATCGCGCAAAATACAAAACCTCGCAATATATACGCTATTTACCCGGCTGCATTTACTATTAGTCTATGACGTTATAAGGAATGCCGCCATATTGAATAAAGTTTAAACGCCTGTATCTCGGCAAATTTGTTATGTCTTTTGATGAGATTTTAGTATGTTGTAGTCCATGTTGAAACGTGTTTAAAAATAGATTATAACTTTTCATCGATGCAATAGAACTGGAGTTATGACGATTCGAAGTTTTGTACTTTCAAACGCTCTAACTTCGGTTTTATTTGTCCGATTGTAAAAATTTTGGGCTCATTGGAAAACTCTTGCAAAACTCTACAACTCATTAGAACAACTGAAATTCATCTAACTACTTGTTTGAGGCGCTAATGGCAAAAATAATATATTTTAAAAATTTTAAAGTCAATAATTTTATTTCAAAGTCATACTAATTTGAGATAATCTCTTAAATATTTCGATAGTCCAGATCGAGACGTTTCCAAAATGGCGTTATACTTTTTTGTCACTGCCATAGAACCTGAGTTATGGCGGTTTGAAATTTTTCTATTAAAACAGGGTTGGTTGAGTTGGCCATATTTCGAGTTTGCGACGCCCAACTGACCATAACCGTTCGCTTATCACGTCCTTTCATATGCGCGCGAGATTTCAAGCTATAAAAGCGCCGGCGGGAGTGAACGGATTGAGGATATAAAGTTGAAATTGATGGGAGACTCTAATGATAGTTGGCAAAAGGTATATACCAGTGGCAAAGTGTAACACAAGAAATCCCCACCGCGCAATCCAATTTTCATCTCCTCTGACGCGCTGGAGGAAATCATTTGAGTCCGGAAAACAGCCAATTTTCCATCGTATGTTCCGCAAGAAACTTCTACCATCGCTCTATAAGCTGCTCAGTGCTCAATGAAAACCGATAAAAATCCAGTCAAATTGACATTCAATTGAAATTAATGTGCGCTTTTTTTCTCCTCCCACCACGAGAGGATCAACATGAAAATGCATCCCGTATGCGGTTTTATAAATATTCCCACGAGCAATGAACGACAAAATATGCATATAATTTTCAATTATTGCACCCAAAAGAGGCGCTTAAATGATCTGAATATAAAATATTATATATAGAATATATTAATACAGAATTAATTTGCTACCTTCAAATGTGTTGTTCTGGATGGGCAAAATGCAAATTTTCACCTGGAAAATTTCAATCAATTAGCATGGCTTTTTTGTGCACTTTTCACCAATGCGAATAAAGAGCTTTAATGCACCAGAATTTAAATTGAGAGCAGTTAGGATTTTTCCAAAGATTCATGAGACTGTCATTATAATCAAGGGGGAGATAATATGATCGGTAGTTGCTGTACAGCTTGAAAGTGATTAAATATTTAGAATATTTCTATTGCAAAAGCTTCGGTTTCAACAAATTGAGACATTTTCTAAACTATTTTACCTCTAAAAATCAATTCTAATTCTTTTTTTTAGGTTATGTTATTGTTTTTTAAACAGATTCTAGTGATAAAAAACTATTTAGCGGAAATATGATGAAAATCGCCATTTTTAGTCATTTCCAGGCTTGAAGTATTTTTTTTTAAAGACGAATTCATAATCTCACAATTTGGTTAGGATATATTTAATGTATTTTCTGCCAATTTTAACTAGAAATTCAAGACGGAAATTGTTCAAATTGTCTGAAATCGAAGTATTTGAAGAACTTAAGTTTCTTTTGAGATGGAAAAACCTAGATTATATTGTGACGAGTCAGAAATCGCGCCGAAAAAGCGATGAAAAACAAGATGAAGCCTTTTGAGACGTTTAGAAGTGTCTGAAGTGTTGAAGATTCTGCACAGAAATTGTATCACATTATCTCCTCCTTGATTAAAATCTAACTTTAGTATTAATAGTTGAAAAAAACTTGAGTGAAAATAGGTCACAAGCATTTTCAGTGCTGGAAAATGATGACAATTCAATATTCAATTCAGAATCCACAGCCGGAGGCAAAGCGATCAACTATAAAGTTCCAATCATCTATGAAATATGCATGAATCCGGGGAATGTGTATTTGGCTGGAACAGGAAGGCCTTTAGGGTGTTTTTTCCTGAATATAGATTCCCTGTCAATTAAAACACCGTAATTTGGAAAATCAACAACTTGAGCAAATCCGCGAAAGTGTTATTGCATCAACGCAATGGAGGCGTGACGTTCTTCTTTTTGTTGAATCGCCTGAGGTTCTTGTGCAAGAGATTAAGCGTATTACAAAGACGCACTGAGTTGAGTTTTATTTCGCTGACAATAGTTCAAAGTGACAGAGAAATCGGTATCAAAGAGACGTTAAAGTCCTGAACAGAGTTTTTGTCCTGATCTCTGCCACGCCCACTTGTATGCTCCGCCCCTTTATGTAACCTAAAAGCTGTGTGTGTGTGTGCTATCAACGTTTTGAACTCGTTCTCTTAAGGTCATTTAAGTGACTTGAGAAATGCTGCACGCTCTAATATTTCAGGTAATTATGTGTGAATATATTTTGTATGAAATATTTTGTGAAATTCTGGCAATCTATAAGAAATTTTCTTCTCTTCTTGTCTTCTGTGTCATCCTTCATACAATTACTAACTGTGGTGTGTTTCTTGTGAATTGTGTAGCACGCGCTTCAAGTCACGGTAATTAATTGCCTCATTGAGAATGGTTTTATGTGGTACAATAATAAAAACTGCGCTACACTTAATTGCAAATATTCCTCTTCATAATGGTAACTTTTTAGTTCGAACTGGAAACAACAACAGAGTCTTTGTATAATGAAAACGCCCACACAAATGTTTTACATGAAATTATGACTGATTTTCTCGAGTGTTCATCGAGTGGAATGTCAATAAATAATACAATTTGTGCTGTATTGAGTGGATAGAGATGAAAAAAAATCACCCTCAAGCACTAAATGGATGCAATTTAGTGATTTCTTTCTCCGCAGCAATTTAGCATTGAATAAATTGAGTGAGACTGAATACAAATGCAAAAGAGAGATTTTCAGTGGATTTCAAAATGAGATGAGACGATTTCTTGTCATCAAAAGACTCGGAGAATAGAGCGATTTATCGCTTGTACGCCCATTTGGAATGTGGATTTATTCCACTGCCACTCAAATTGTCTTTATTGAATTTCAATCAGCAATTACCGACTCAATTATTGATAAGTACATCACCAGAGAGAGAGAATAGGTTTGTTTGACATCGCGTTTTTCTCTGTTTCGATCACAATGAATAATTTTTGGTTTTATTCATTTTTAATGAACAAACAACTTTTCAAATTAGTGCATTTATGCACAGGCAAAGGACTGAAGAAAACTCCGCAATATATATATATATATATATTGCGGTATGTAAAGAAGAGCGTGATGGATTTTCATTGAAAAACCATGAATGAAGGCTATCTTCCTTCCTGAAATCCTTTTTTTCTCGGGGGGAAATTAATGGAAAAAAACAGAGCGGGTGAAATGTGAATTTTCACGATATATATATATATGTTCATATTAGGGGTGGAGGGGAAAAACCCCTTTTGTTGTGAGACTTTTGTAAACGAGAAACCACAAGTAATTGCAGACTGAAAATTAATGGTGAAAAATCTCCGACGCAATTCAAGTAATTTGAGTTTGCTGACGAGTAAAAAAAAAAGAGTGTTTTAGGGAAAAGCGACCGCCAAATGTGGGTGAATGTTCTTTGTCATTTTGGGTTTGGGGGTGGCTGGAGGGAGGCGGAGGGAGGAAAAAAGGGGGATTCCTTCCATTTTTTACGTGTTAACACTGCAGTGTGGCAAGTCATTAATATTAAATATGAT